GGCTAGCCTGGTCTACACAGCAAGTTACAGGACAGAGTTACACAGAGAGACCCTGTCTTGAAAACCAAATAAATAAAAGAATGAGGTAGACCCTTACACATAGCAGTTTTCAAACTCTGTCAGGAAGCTTAGGGTCATCCTTGGCTACACAGACAGGCCAGCAAGAGCTTCATGAGATCATGAAGCTTTAAAAAAAAAAAAAAAAAAAAAACTGTCTTAAAAAAAAAAACTCATGGTGTTTATTATTTCCTTTGGAAAGTAATATGCTGAAGATACTGTGTTACTAAATATTCTTACCAAGAGATAGATATGCAATAATCACCTGTTACAGCACAGAAAACAGATTAGGTCAAGAAACTAAAACCACATACACTGGTATAGCAGCCACCCTCAGCTTAAACACTGGCTACAGTGAATATACACCAAGGATGCTGTACTCTCTGGTTGATAAATCATGGTTTGGCTCACGGTACTCGGGCTAGGGCATCCCAGGGTGTAGTTCTATGCTTATAACCTAGTGAGGACTTTCCTGCTACACACATGACGACAATGACCTCCCCACAGGTCTCCCTTCCTAGGCTTTCCTGAGATTTGCAGCAGTCCTGCTTCAGGTGCTGTTTGCCATGCTTGACTCTCGCTCCTCTGTGTGAGGCATCTGGACTCCTGCTTCCCTCAAGTGTTGGGCTCCTGTCCTGTAGAGCATTCACACACACACCTGAGAGCTGCTGGCTCAGCCAGGCAATCTTCCCATCACCGAGGAAGCTGAAGCAGGACTCCTACAAGCTGGAAGAAGACTAGATTACATCTGTCTAGATAGCCATATAAATAAAAGAAGCCATCATATCAAAGGTGGGAGAACCAACACCTATGACCTCACCATTAGAAACCCCTAATGTTTCCATCCACAACTATTAACAAGACTCAAATATGCAGATGGGTTGTTTCCAACCATGAAATTTGGGGTGACCTGTTTAAACCATAGCTGGGTGGCGGGCCTCCACTCACTGAGGGATGACTATTTTGTTTGAAAGAAATGCTGGGACCCAGCTTTCTTGCTTCTCAGTTCAGGGAATGGTGCAGCCACAGTGGACACATTTTCCCAGCCAGTTATCCTCATCAAGATCATCCCCATAGGCTTGCCCAGAGGTCTCCTGGGCCTTTCATTCTAGATGGTACTAAGTGTACGGTTGGCATTTCACAGGCACTCATGGCTACCAGACTACTGCATCTCTTCACTCAAGATAGGATCTCATAGTGTCCAGGCTAGCTTTGAACTCTTGGTAATCCTCCAGGCTCTTCACAGCACATCCCAAGGCAATAGTGGATCAGATCACATCTTGTTAACAATACGTACAATCTGCTGGGTTGTTGGCAAAGTAAAACCTCAGGGAACAGGTGAGCTTCAAGGCTTGGCAGGTAGGGATACATGTGCTCACTCATCTAGCAGATCAACTGTATTCCCTCAGAGGCCGCCAAGAGCAATGACTGGGGAACAAGGGGTGGGGCTAGTTACCTCTCCATTGGGCTGTGTGATAGCTTTTGTGTGTGCACCCACAAACACATGAAAAGGGCAGAGGATGTCAGGTGCCCTACTTTATTTCATTCTTCATGTTATTCTCTTGAGACAGGATCTCTCATTGAACCTGGAGCAAGGTTGGAGGCCAATGAACCCAGCATCCTCCTGCCTGATCCCACCGCAGAGGTAACAGGCACATGGGTATGGCCACTCCTGGCTTGATGAGGTTGTGCATGAAACCAAACTCAGGTCCTCACACTTAGACAGCACTCTTAACCGCTCAACACTTCCCATTTTCTAATCATTTATTTAATATATGTGGGGGGTACACATGCCATGGTCACATGTGAAGGTCAGGGGGCTGCTTGTAGGAGTCAGCTCTTCGACTTAGGTCACCAGGCTTGGCAACAAGTACCTTTACCCACTGGACTGTCTTGTTAAGGACAGGTCTCATGAAGCTTAGACTAGCTTTGACCTCACTATGTAGTTGGTCTTGAACTCCTGACTCTGATTCCTGTATGTTGGGCATTGAACTGAAGCCACACCCTGTGACTTTAGGACAGTTATGTGGCCATCTGTTGAAATACTGGGGATGGGGACCTTGGGCCTCACATATGCTAGGCAAGCACGGGTCTCTGTGATGTTTGGCCGTTTTGGTTTCCTCCATATTTTGCAGCGTTCTGCAAGCAGTCAGGGCAGCTGCCATGGTGAGGGGACCAAATGTGTTGCAAAGTTTTGGTCTTGGCTTGGTGGATTGGGAGTCATTCAGGTTCCCAAAGAGGTTCATTAGAAGGCAGAGTCATTGACTAAAGGGCAAAGCCCAGCTGAGTAGCAAGGAGGCAGGCCTCCCTTGGCAAAACCTAGTTGCCTAGAATTATTAGGGAGGTGAAGGACAATGGGTTGGGAAATATGAAGCAAAGGCCCAAGTGTGGTGGTGCATGCCTTTAACCCCAGTTCTGGGGAGGCAGAGGCCCTGTGCATGGGTGGCAGTGGCTGGTGAGAGCTCAGAGGGTAAAAGCACTTGACAAACCTGACGAACTGAGTTCAATTCCTGGGGACACTGGAATGGCAGTAAAGAACCAATCATGATACAGTTGTCCTCTCCCTTCCTCACCTGGGGAAGGAAGGTACACTTTCCCCCAATAAATAAAATATATTAAACTTTTAAAATATTTACTTTCTTACGTTCCAGTGGTCTTCCCATTGCTTTCTTTTCCCCCCTTGATTGTTCAAGGCAGGGTTTGTCTGTGTCTGGATGTCCTGAAACTCGCTCTGTAGATCATGCTGGCCTCCAACTCAAAGATCCACCTGCCTCTGGTGGGATTAAAGGCATCCACCACCACAGCCCAGCTATATTTTGTTTTTGTTGTTTTGTTTGTTTGAGATAGGGTTTCTCTGTGTAACAGTCCAGGCTGTCCTGGGACTGGTACTTGTTTTGTAGACCAAGCTGGCCTCGAACTCACAGGGATCTGCCTATCTCTGCCTTCTGAGTGCTAAGGAGTGTGCCATCACCGCATGGCACAGCCAGTGTTCTTGATGAGTTTCTCCAGAAACCCTCCCTCACTTCCATTGCTTTAAACCAGGGTATTTGAGTGTCCCTCCTCAGGACTGCAAAGAGGTTAATAACGAAAGTGGTAGTCATTGCCCCACATCTCATCCACTGTCATGGAGACGGTAAGGCTGGGTCAACTGGGACAGGAGAGGGCTAGGGGAGAGCTTGGAGCTGCTGAAGGGAAGATGGGTGAGTTGGTTTTATCAGTAAGTTAGACCCCTAGTCCAAGCAGAATGCTGGGTAGACAGGCTTAAGCAGGAGTGTGACCCGGGAAAGTGGACAAGGTCACTGTCCCTAACCCACCAGCTAGTTGCCTTGCAGTTCAGGATGATGGGATGGGGGTTAGGGCAGTCCGGGTGCTGGAAAGATCAAGACAGTGAGTCATGAGCTATGTCAGGGAAGAAGTCTGCAGGGAGCAAGAATGTTCTGGAACAGTCTCGGGTGAGCAGATGTAGACTTTGGTTTGCTGTGAGCCACACAAACAGTCCTGATGAGACTTATAATGTCATTTAGGGATTACAGGCTTTTTATTTTATTGATGTTTTGCCTATATGTATGTCTGTGTGAGGGTGTTGGATCTTGGGGTTGCAAACAGTTGTTAGGTACCATGTGGGTGCTGGGAATTGAACCCAGGTTCCCTGGAAGAGCAATCAGTGCTCTTAACTGCTGAGCCATCTCTCCAGACCTTTGTCTGGCTCTTACACTGAGTTCTTGGACATGAACTCAGGTCATCTTGCTCCAGAGCCAAGCACATTACCACCGAGTGATTTCTGCAGCTCCAAGATTAGGACATCATGAAGGGTTTTCACAGCAGACAAGACAAGGTTTCCAGGAGGGGCAGAGGCAATCTCAAGACTGTAAGGATACCTCACAGACTCAACTGCATCTTTCCTCCTCGTATAATCTTGGTGTGGAGCTTCCAGCAGCTAAGGTGGTATCCAAGAGAATTAGAAGTTGGAGATCCTGGCTAAGAAGCCAGAAGACACAGAGGCTCACAGTTAAGGGCTTGGTGGCCAGCACAAATGCAGAAAGTAAATCCATGCCAGAGATGTCAGCACACAGCTCCAAGAGATTCTATGCACTCTTTCTGCCTCTGAGGGCACTGAACTCACCTGCACAAATCCACCAGACACATACATAGTTAAAACAGATCTGTTTTCTTCTGTTTATCGAGACAGAGTTTCTTCGTATAGTCCTGGTTGTCCTGGAACTCACTATGTACACCAGGCTTGCCTCGAACTGTCTGCCTCTGCCTCATAAGCGCTGGAACAAAAGGCGTGCGCCACCATGCGTGGCAAACTAAGATATATGGGATTTTTTTGTTTGTTTTCCTTTTTAAAGCCGATAGTATAGCTTCTCGTGCTTGCCTATCATGCACGCTTTCCTGGCTTCCAATGCTAACTAACACCCTATAACCCCGGCGCACGCCTGTCATCGCCGACATAAGGATCGGGAGTGCAAGATCACCCCCAAGTATACGGGGAGTTAGAGGTCAGCTTGAGTTTCCTGAGACCCAATCTCCAGAAAGCAGAAGTAAATAATAAAATACGTAAACAAAGGGGATGGCTGCCGACGGCTGCTTTCAGTTCTCCTTCCCTAGGTCAGCACGCGTCTGCATCGTCGCTTCAGAAGACACATCGTTGCTCCACTTCTGAGGCCGATGTTGGGAAGCCGGGATCGTGTGATTTGCCAAGCCTGGACGGTGCACAAGGCTGTGAAGAACGCAGAGGCCTGAAAGCGCCTGGACGCTCTCGCAGGAACGCAGACACCCAAACGCTCAAGCCAGGCCCGCTCCACACACGCTGCCGCGTAGCGGAACGACAGCCGGTTCGGCGGAGGCGCCAAGAACCTCCCACGCATGCGCCTCGCTACCCCCCTCCCCGTGCGTGTTACTCACGCAGTTTCTTCCCGCCCTCTTCCAGTCCTCACTTCCGGGGTTTCCTGGCGACAGCCGTAAATGACGCGCCAAAGCGGCCCGCGAGGCCGTCGTGAACGTCTCCCTTTGCGCCACTTCCGGCCGACTTTTGCGGCCGGTGCTGGTGGGCGATCGTGAGGCGCCGGAGGTCGTTCCCAGCGGCTGCAGCCATGGAGATGCCGCTGCCGCCAGACGGTGAGGTCCATCCCTGAGCGGAGATCGTTAGGTTCTCCCCGCGTGCCCCCACCGGCTGGTCGTGCCTCTCCAAGTTCCCGGCTCGGAGACGAAGCGCGCTACGGCCTCGCCGCTCCTCCCGCGGCCTCTCCCGTGGGTCCCCGCATTCCAGCGCGCGCGCTTGACCCTATTCAGGACCCGTACACGGCCGCCTCGTCGAGGCGGCCCGCCCTAGAGGACCCCGGCCCGATCCCCGGGTTCGAGCTGCCCCCATTGACGCCTTTTCCTCCGTCCTGCAGACCAGGAGCTTCGAAATGTCATCGACAAGCTCGCTCAGTTCGTGGCTCGCAACGGGCCCGAGTTCGAGAAAATGACGATGGAGAAACAGAAGGACAACCCGAAATTCTCGTTTCTGTTTGGAGGCGAGTTCTACAGTTACTACAAATGCAAGCTGGCTCTGGAGCAGCAGCAGCGTGAGTCCCCCCGGCCCTCGGCCGCCTCGGAGTTCAGTCCGGGCCCCACCGCAGCCTTTTTCTTTGGGGTCGCATGTTTCGCGGTCTGCAAAGCCGGGCGGTTGTGTCTCTGACTGTTCTTTCTGTCGTTTCTGGGGCCCTGCACCAAGATAGACTGTTGAATCTGTGTGCCATAAGGAGTCATACATTGAAGTGTCATAAACTCTCTTTCCGGGCGCTGGTCGGGAGTTCCTGGATTGTCTTTGCAGAAGGAATGACGGGTCTGCAGGAAGGCGGGAAGCAGAGACTTGTTTCTGGGGCAGGAACTGTGTAGCCCATTCTAAAGGCTGAGACCAGAGGTTTCTGTGCGTTTCAGATACATAGATCAAAAAGTTTTCCCTTTAGTTTCTGCAGCGTTTTTTCTTTTCTTTTTTTTTCTTTGTTTGTTTTAATTGGTTTTTGACACAGTTTCTCTGTGCAGCTCTGGCCATCCAGGAGCCAGCTTTGTAGACTAGGCTGGCCTCAAACTCAGAGATCTCTGCCTTCCAAGTGCTGGGATTAAAGACATGTGCACCACCCTTCCTGGCCTAACTGTATCTTAAAATGTCCAACTAGGTGAGCATCAAGAAACACATGATAATAAAAATAAAATTTAAGAGCCAGATGTGGTGGGTCAGCCCTTTAATCCCAAGGCAGAGGCAGTTGGATTTCTGAGTTTGAGGCCAGTCCCATCTACATATTGAGTTCCAGTACTAGCATGATTGCATAGACCCAGTCCTCAGAAAACTGGGGGAAAAAAGAAAACAGTTAGGAAGCACAGCTGTTCTGTGAGATCTCACACTGTAGCCCAGGTTGGTCTGGCAACATGTTACTCAGACTGGCTTCCAACTCAAACTAAACCTGCATCGACTTTTCAGGTGTTGGGATTACAAGTGCAAGCCAGCATACCCCAGCTTTGAATGACAGCGTGTCAGCAGATGGGGTGGGTCCTGGGGAACCCACCCCATCTGTTGTACTGGGTAACTCTAACGCCTGGGTGAACTGTTGGAATGAGTGCTTGCCCTTGCAAAGATACGGGCATTCAAAGGTGACAGCTGCCAAGCCACAGTCCTGATGCCAAATATTTTTTTTGGTGTGCTCTAGCATTATGTTGTGAGTGGTTGATAGAAAACTTGTATATATCAAACTTTTAAACTATAGACTTTTATAGAAAGCAGGTAAACTTGAGCCCATGAAGCACAGGGGCTTGAAGAAGCTGTATGTTCGGAGAGGAGCCACCAGTGGCCACAAGTGTGAGCTGAGGGAGGGTTTGATATGGAGAGTTCTGATATACCAGTGTGGACTGAAGTCTGTGGGTCATAAGGTTTTGTCTCCTAGAGTCTTAGTAGGTCAGCTGTTTGATATCACTTAGCCTCAGAGCGCCAAGTTCATAACAATCCTAAGGCAACAGAGAGCCACAAGAGGTTGCCAACACAACAGACTGGAGTTGGGGAGAGAGGTGATTGATAGTCACCGCTTATAAAGGGGTCAGCGTGAACGTGGAGGCAGGTGGGATCAAAGGTAGACCTGGGGATAGGTGAGGGGTGTGCCTTGGAGTGAATATCCCTGGGAGCTATACAGGAAGTCTGCCCATACTTCCCATTTGGACAATCACTTGTTGGGGCTGTGGACTTAGTGCTGCAAAACGGAAAGGAAAATGGATGGAAGTCATGGCAGATTGGGGCTGGGATCAAGAGGGCATTCTGAGAGCCATGCCATAGTAGGATCTACTGAACATGACAGGGACAGCCAGAGGCACACTGGAGAGAGAATCTTGGGCAAGCTGAGGGGTGGGCACAGGCTGAGGGTGGTAGGTGGTGGAAGTCCAGAAGAGGGTTTGGGTTTGGCCATAAGGGAGAAATGGGGTAGGGAGAAGTTGCTTGCTGAGGAGCTATCACCTAGACATTAAGCTCAGAAAGGGCTGTGGGCTGACTCAGTATTTTATCGCTCAACCTTGGACTGATCTAGAATGGCGCTTTGCAAGCACTGTGGTGAAGGGTGGTGCTGAGTTGTTGGTTAAAACTTCTAGTCCACTGTCACCATGGCCTTATATTTACAAAGTGCAATAAAAGTGTGAGTTGTGGGCTGTTGCCTTTCCCATAGATTATCTGTTGGGCAAGACTGCTCCACAGGTCCTGTCTACTGTGTGCATAGGGCCACACTGCTACAGGACACAGTTCCTTACTAGGTATGGTGCAGGCAGAAGCAGAGCTGTGGCTGACACTGCTGCTGATTGGTGTGAGGCGTATGTCCACCCTCATCTGGATGGACCGCTGTGCCAGCTGGAGTGCAGCTGCAAGATCCGGGCTTGGACTGGGAGGTGGTGTATGAGGCTGTGAAAGCCCAGTGCTGTCATGAGTGGTGTCATGGGCCATCAGTGGCTCCTCCAGAGTGGAGCTTTCTCCCCAAAGGAGTGTGAGATTTACAGCTTAAAACAGGCCGACTTGTGGATGCCACTAAGGCCTAAGTGATACACACCCCCTTGCCATACTTTCTTTGTTTTTGTTCAAAGTTCATTTCCTTTGGTTGAGCCTCAGAGGCTCCCGCAGATTGGCCCTATTGTTGGGATCAGGCAGGGCCCAGAAGTAGAGGGTAAGTAGGCCATCTTGTTGAAGTCCTGCCTGCAGGCAGGGAAGTCCCTTTTCTCCAGACATACTGATACCTCATGGCCATGGGCCCAGACACTTACTGTCATACCAGTGTGTTATTGGTGGTTCAAGCTAGGTGATCCTGGATGCTGATCCAAGGCCTGCAGATTGAAAGGATTACCACAGGAGGTGTGGCAGGTCTTGAGGACACTCCATTCCTGTGTGTGCTGGCCAGACCTTCAGAATATATCTTAGTGAAGGGAGAGTTTAGGGACCAGTCATATGGAACAAACACATTCCTAGGATAGATACCACATCTCCAGCAAAGGCCATGGCCTACAGTTCATAGTACCTTAGTCCTGGCTAAGAAGGGAAGATGGGTAGATTCAGCCTGTGTGATGAGGAGGTGGTACAAAGGCAGCTTTGATAATCTCCAGGAAGACCAGGCACAACAGGGGAAAAAAAGCACAGGCAGGTTGGCTGTATGAGTTGGAGAGTGAACTTAGCTTTCTTCCATCAACCCCTCCATACTGGTCAAACCTGATGCATCTCAGGGAACCTGGGGCTGGCCCTAGACTCACAGGACCCATCTCTCTCCTACTAGTTATCTGCAAGCAGCAGGCCCCAGAGCTGGAGCCAACTGCAACCATGCCCCCTCTGCCACAACCTCCGCTAGCTCCTGCGGCGCCCCTCACTCCAGCCCAGGGCACCCCGTCAATGGACGAGCTCATCCAGCAGAGCCAGTGGAGTCTTCAGCAGCAGGAACAGCACCTGCTGGCCCTGCGTCAGGTACAGCTGTTTCTTGGGCTAGTGACCATGGGGTCGCCTTCCAGTAGGACTGTGGAACATTCACAGGTGTTGCTAGGTGGACTTGTGGACTTGGTAACTTGGTGCCTATCAGGCTGAGTGAGTAGGGAGGGACCTCATTGGCCCATCTGTTAGGCTGATCCTATTGCCAAGTTCTCTAGGGAGGAGAATCAGAAATGAAAGGAGTGATGTAAGGACCTGGGTACCAGCCCCACTTGGTGTTTCTTTGCTTGCCCTTGTCACACACCAAGCATGTGTGTTTGCTACCCATCATAGACTGGACAGTGAGGTCTTGGGTGCCAGACTGGCCTCTTAGTCTTAACTGGCTTGATGGCCCATACTTACTATTTGTGGTTTGGGTTCGGTTTGGTTTGCTTTGCTTTTGAGACAGCATCTTCCCAATGCTGTGTCCTAGAATCACAGTCTTCCTGCCTCAGCCTCCTGAGGGCTAGGATCACAGGTGCCTACCACATTCCTGCCTCCCTGGCTTCATTTTCCTGTTAGCTGAGGCCTGTTCTGCCTACTGTGTTGCCTACTGTCACAGGATTTGGCATATGCTAAAGACAGATAGCAGTGTGTCTGCTAGAGCCCCTGTTCACACCACCTGTCCCTTATGGCTTTCCCAGGAGCAAGTGACTGCAGCTGTGGCACATGCAGTGGAGCAGCAGATGCAGAAGCTGCTGGAAGAGACACAGTTGGACATGAGCGAGTTCGACAACCTGCTACAGCCCATCATTGACACCTGCACTAAGGATGCCATCTCGGTGAGGCTCAGTGTGGGGTGGGGGTGCCGTCACCTGCCTGACCACCCACTCACCCTGGCCTGACTCTCAGGCTGGGAAGAACTGGATGTTCAGCAATGCCAAGTCCCCACCACACTGCGAGCTGATGGCAGGCCACCTGCGCAACCGCATCACTGCTGATGGAGCACATTTCGAGCTGCGACTGCACCTCATCTATCTGATCAATGATGTGCTGCACCACTGGTGAGTATGCGATCCCTCGGGCCATAGCCCACACCTGTAATTACGGGTTTCCCTCCCAGCTCACCAGACCACCCCTGCACCACACACACACTGTCCACTGCTTCCCCTCCCAGAACAGTGTCTGGCACCTCCAGAAGGCAGGCCTTGGGTTCTGCTGCCTCCTTTCTACTTCCGCAATCATCATGTGTCTGCTTTAGGTTGCTGTCCTCCCTCCACCGTTCCTCCCAGCCAGACACATGGCTACTACACTGTGGGGACCCTGCCTCCCCTCTGTTCAGATATATCCTGGGGGCTGCTTTTGATGACTCTCTGCCTATCAGACTTCTCCTTTGCGCTATGGCTCCAGCCTCTTAGGGCCTGGTAGGTGTGTCTCTGCATGGCTACCGGGTGAAGTTGATGGAGGAAACCAGAACCCAGAACTCTGGCCAGAGGCAGGTGCAGGAGTTCCATGCTAGTGATACATGCTGACAGTCAGCTAAGCTGACTGCCTCCCTGCCTTTCAGCATGGCCATGACAACCAGGACACCTGATAAGTGTGCAGGACTCCCAGGAGAGCAAGAGAAGCTGGCCTGCTCCCTCCCTCCCTGCCTCATCTCCATATCTGTCCTGCTGGGAAGTGAGCAGTGGCTCTGCTACCTACGCCCTCCTGCACTCCACCTTTTTCTCTCAGTGGCTTGCTGCTGCCTCTGCTCAGATGGTCTCTCCCCCATTCCCTGCTATACTCTTCACCTGGACTCACACAGAAGTCTGGCCTGCAGTGCCTTTTGTTACCCAGCTCCTGCCAGTCCTTGCTGCCCTGTGATCTCAGCTGTGGGAGCTGAAGCTGCTAGCCTCTGTCTGCATCTTTCCTGGGTCGGCATATGGTTGCTGAGCCACTGTCACACAAGAGGCCTGGATTCACCATACTGCACAGCTGGAGGGGCCTTCCTGGGCTGTTTCTTCCTCTTTGTCCTCTTTCAGTGGCACTGGGCACAAAACCCGGGGTCTTGGCACATGGCATGCAAATGCTGTGCCCGGGGCTGACCATAACCTTTGTGGGTGGTTAGGCTCCAAGAAGCCTCCTCAGTGACCCTATGGGGCTAGGGAATCCCTGCTTGGGCACAGTGGTAACTGGGTCCTGACCACAGCAGCCCCATTGCACCCTTTGCACATATGCAAGCACTCTGGTAGGCCCTTCTGATAGTGAAGGCCTTGTTCTTAATAGCCCTGGGGTGCACATTCTCTTGTCTCCCAAGACAAGGCACCTGCATTGTAGTTAGTCCTGTGTGGTTGGGGGGGCATTTCCTGAGGAGAGGGTGCTGTGGCTGCAGCCTCATGGTAACGGGTGCGTGGCCGGGTCCCGCCCCAGGGCCCTGACGCGCGGAAGGTCTCTCCCTCACAGCCAGCGCAAGCAGGCCCGGGAGCTGCTGGCTGCCCTGCAGAAGGTGGTGGTGCCTATCTACTGCACTAGCTTCCTGGCTGTGGAGGAGGATAAGCAGCAGAAGATTGCCCGGGTATGAGGCTGCTAGGGCTGGGTGGGCGGGTGAGCAGCTGGGCTGAGTGGCATGGCCTCTGCCTCACGAATCTTCCTCTGCACCAGCTCCTGCAGCTCTGGGAGAAGAATGGCTACTTTGATGACTCCATCATTCAGCAGCTACAGAGCCCCGCCCTGGGACTTGGCCAGTACCAGGTGAGTGCCACACAGCAAGGGCTACCCATCACCACAAAGTCTTAAACTGTGAGTGTTTTCATCACTGAGTCTGGCTGCATCTTACATACCTTTTAGCTATTGGATTCAGACTGGTATCTTGAATGGTGTTATTTTCTCCACCAGGCTACTCTCATCAACGAGTACTCCTCAGTGGTTCAGCCTGTGCAGCTGGCTTTCCAGCAGCAAATCCAGAGCCTCAAGACACAGCATGAAGAGTTTGTCAGCAGCCTGGCCCAGCAGCAGCAACAGCAGCAGCAGCAGCAGCCACAGCCACAGATTCAGCTGCCTCAGATGGAAGCAGAAGTGAAAGCCACACCCCCACCAGCAGCACCTCCCCCAACCCCAGCACCCGCTCCCACCATCCCACCAACTACCCAGCCAGGTATGCAGTTCCCTCCACCTCTTACAACTGAATGCCTTGCATTACAACTGAAAGACATGTAGTGGCACATGTCTTTAATCCCAGCACTCGGGAGGCAGAGGCAGATGGATCTCTATGAGTTCGAGGCCAGCCTGGTCTACAGAGTGAGTTCTAGGATAGGTTCCAAAGCTACAAGAGAAACCTTGTCTCGAAAAATCAAAAAAAAAATTATATATATACACAAACAAAAAGCAAAACTGAATGCCCTAAACGTCAGAGAGCACTATTCTCCTGGTCCCCTGGCCACCTGCTCCACAGCCTGCCCACTACTGGGCCAAGAGTAATCCGCTTATGTGCCCAGACTAGGCCAGCAGTGTTTGCTGTGCATGGCTTCAGAGTAGAAAAGAGGAAGAGGACTAGTGCATCAATCCTCTCTTGATACACTGTTCAAGGTGTGGTCCAGGGCTGGGTGAATTCAGCATGTGTATAGCCCAATCCTAAACACACACAACAACACACGTGTCTGATCTTGTGTTTATAGTGTACATGTGTATGTGTGTAAGGACCGCTTATGAAGAAACCTGGGTAAGGTCTGAAATGAGTACTCAGGAAGCCGAGGCAAGAGGATTTTAAGTTTTAGACCAGCGAGTACTTGCCATGCAATCACAAGGACCTCATTTTAAGTCAGGTGTAAGGTGGGCAACGCCTTTAATTAAAGGCACACGCCTTTAATCCCAGCACTTGGGAGGCAGAGGCAGGCAGATCTCTGAGTTTGAGGCCTAGTCTACAAGAGCTAGTTCCAGGACAGTCACCAAAGCTACAACCTTGTCTCAGGAGAAAAAAAAAAACAAAACAAAACAGAAGACTGGGTAGAGTGGTGTGTATTAGCTCAGTGCTGGGAAGGCAGAGACAGGTCGATTCCTGGAGTTCAGTGAGACACTCCAAAACTGAGGTAGAGACCAGTAAGGCGAGTCAGTTTGATCCCTAGGATCCACCGGGTGGCAGGAGAGAGCCTGATGCCAAGAGTTGCTCTCTGACTACCATGAGATGAGTTCACTAAAAAAAATAATTTGAGCTGGGCAGTAGTGGTACCTATCTTTAATCCCAGCACTCGGGGAGTAGGGGCAGGTGGATCTCTGTGAATTACAGGACAGCTAAGGCTACACAGAGAAACCGAGAAACCCTGGGGCAGGGGGTGGGGGAGATGACAACTTGTAGACAAAACAGTGACATGTCATGAGCATTGAAAATGTCCACACTTGTATCTCTAGAGGACTGTGGTGGTGACATTGGCAGCAGTGGCTTTCAGTGACGTTAGGAACACAATTCAGTCCTGTCCTGAACCGAATTGGGGGTGTTAGACTCAACAGTCCTTCCTCCTACTGACGGTCAGTGACTTCTAACCGACTGTCACCTGTGTTTAGATGACAACAAGCCTCCCATCCAGATGCCTGGTTCTTCAGAGTACGATGCCTCGGCAGGTGTCCAGGATCCTGCAGCTGCTGGCCCTCGGGGTCCTGGTCCCCATGAACAGATCCCGCCAAACAAGCCCCCTTGGTTTGATCAGCCTCACCCTGTTGCTCCTTGGGGTCAACAGCAGGTACTTTATCTGTTGAGACGTATGTGACAGCGTAAAAGGCCTGCTCTGTGCTCTCCTAGTAGGGTCCTGTAGGGCAGCAGGCATGGGGTGGCCATAAGTAGTAGACCCTGAGGAGACGCCCGGTACCACCGTTTGGCCTGTCCTTACTCGTGCAGCTTTCAGGTCTGTCAGGAAAGACAGAAGGAAGATCAGAAGTGGTGAGCTTCCCCCAGAGGCTGATGATGCTGGCTGCATTGCCAGGACTCTGGGTGACTCAGACTAGAGCAGAGATCACATGGTACATGACCAGCCCCGTAATTTGCTAGATGAGATTGACTGGAGCGTCTGGGTACAGTGTACTTTCCCATCAACGGGGCATGGCCATGCCACTGTAGAGAATACTTATGGCTGCCAGGGATGTGGCTCTGGGCTGAGAACTACAGGTCTCACATCTGAACCGAGCCTCTCAGCTTCAGGTTTAGTTGACAAGAGATGTACATTCCTGTCAACAGTACCCACGTCCCAGTGTGGGCTATGAGCCTGTTGGGTGGGCACATGGGAACCTTTGAAGGGGGTGTGTGACAGGCTTTGCGTAGGCTCAGTATGATCTATGGGATGGAGGGCTGGTCCACTGAGGCTTACCAGCCAGTATGGGAGTCCACCACCAAATCTTGAGGTTACAGGTATTAGCAGCCCATGTAGATGGCAAGGTGCTGGATTCCATCCCTAGAAGTGGGGGGTAGAACCACGCCATGGGACATGCTTGTAATCGCAGTCTTTGGAGGGCTAAGGCGGGAGGATTGAGTTCCAGGCTATCCTGGAACTGGAGCAGAGCACCGCCCATACCCCTCTTCCCCCAATAAAAAAAGACCTTGAAGCCAACCAGGCTCCTCATACTGCCTTCATGGTACCTTAGAAATCATCCTGCACCCGGCAGTTGTGGTGCATGCCTTTAATCCTAGCATTTGGGAGGCAGAGGCAGGTGGATCTCTGTGAGTTCAAGACCAGCCTGGTTTACAGAGCGAGTTCCAGGACAGGCTCCTAAGCTATACAGAGAAACCCTGTCTCAAAAGAAATTATTCCTGCTATTGGATTCAACCACCCCCCAAAAGGAAGGAAGGAAGGAAGGAGGGAGGGAGGGAGGGAGGGAGGTAGGGAGGGAGGGGGGAGGGTGGGAGGGGAAGGAGGGAGGGAGAAAGGAAGGAAGGAAGGGAGGAAACAAGGAAACAAACAAAAAGAAATTATTCCTGCTATTGGGAATTCAACCTTCTGCTTCTCTTGAAAGCCAGAGGAGAAAGCACCCTACTTACCTGGTGTGAATCATGTAGCTTGCTGCCAAGCCTTGGGAGTGATAGGGGACCTGTTGTGGTCTCTCCTATATCAACCTAAGAAAGGCAGCTGTTGTCCTGGATAAAGAAACAAAGACAGGTGTCTAGGCTGACTTCAGGCAGTGTTCTGGATGAGAGGGTCTCATGCTACAAAGTGGGGTGGTTTAAGGCACATGGCCCAACTTGTTGAAATGTTTTGTGGCATGGTACAGGATGTACCCCTGCAGTGTCCCACTAGGGATCTGGTGCCTGCTGGGCCTGAGGGAGACACATTTGGTCCTGCTTGCTTTATATGTGAGGTTGCAGCCTTGGTGGGGACGTAGGAGGGAGAGGTAACTACAGGCCTTGATCTCATGTCTGTGTTTTGCCTTGCAGCCCCCAGAGCAGCCTCCATACCCACACCACCAAGGTGGACCGCCCCACTGCCCACCCTGGAACAACAGCCACGAGGGCATGTGGGGCGAGCAGCGTGGGGACCCTGGCTGGAATGGGCAACGAGATGCTCCCTGGAACAACCAGCCAGATCCCAATTGGAATAACCAGTTTGAAGGACCATGGAACAATCAGCATGAGCCACCACCCTGGGGTGGTGCCCAGCGTGAGCCACCTTTCCGGATGCAGCGACCTCCCCACTTCCGTGGGCCCTTCCCACCCCACCAGCAGCACCCACAGTTCAACCAGCCTCCACACCCCCACAACTTCAACCGCTTCCCACCCCGCTTCATGCAGGATGACTTCCCTCCTCGTCACCCTTTTGAGCGGCCACCCTACCCTCACCGCTTCGACTATCCCCAAGGAGACTTCCCCGCAGGTGAGTGGGTAGGGTGGGTAGGGCAATGTAGGAAGGCCTGTTGGGGTGTCCCAGGTATGCCTGGCTGTCAGTGTTGTGGAAGTGACAGGCATAGGATGGGTATGGAATGGGCAGACAAGGGTGGCCTCCACCCTGCACCCACACGCACAGGCCAGTTGGACTTTTCTGTCTGTACTTCAAGCACCGTTTTCCTGCTCTTCCCTTGCTGTCCTTCCTGGCTGTTCGCCCATCTGAAGCTGTACCTGTGTCTTCTTGTCTCTTGTGGTTGCTGTGTCAGCCTGAGCTGCACACAGAAGCCATAGACAAGGGTGTGCCTCAGTGGTAGAGAGCCACACCCTACTACTGGGTCCTCAGGGCTGGCCTCAGGAAGGCTTCCCTCTGCATGTGTCCTCCCTGTTCTCTTCAGAGGACCTCAGGCAGTTGGTGGAGTCCACCAGAGTAGCCATAATGTTATGCTTCAAGGGCAGCTGCTGGCTCACCTGTCTTGAGTTCTGGCAGAGAAAGACCAATGAGGAGGTGGAAGTTCAGCTTGCTGCCACTGGGTGCAGTGGTGTGGTCCTTCAATCTTGTCACTTGAGTCCCCTTAGCTGCACCCATGTCTGTGAGAGTTCCAGGCCTCCCTATTGCCCCTCTCACTCCACTTGACTACCTCAGCAAGCTGGAGACAATATTTTGTTTTGCAGAGATGGGACCTCCTCATCACCACCCTGGCCACCGCATGCCACACCCTGGGATCAATGAGCACCCGCCCTGGGCCGGGCCCCAGCACCCTGACTTTGGCCCTCCTCCCCACGGCTTCAATGGCCAGCCCCCCCACATGCGGCGACAAGGCCCACCTCACATCAACCATGATGACCCCAGCCTAGTCCCCAATGTACCCTACTTCGATCTTCCAGCGGGGTTAATGGCTCCCCTTGTGAAGGTGATACTGGACAGGGTGGTAGGTGGTAGTGTATGGTGGAAGGAAGGGCGTGCTGATGATGTTGGGCTGGGTTCCTGCCTTGCTGCTGTCTTCTACTGGGTGGCCAGGGAAGACTCCGCAGGGCACAGGCAATAGCGTGTTCTCCTACAGCTGGAGGACCATGAGTACAAGCCTCTGGACCCCAAAGACATCCGCCTGCCACCCCCCATGCCACCCAGCGAGAGGCTGCTTGCAGCTGTGGAAGCCTTCTATAGCCCACCCTCCCATGACAGGCCGAGGAACAGGTAGGGAGGCTGGACTCCAGCCTGGTTGAGCCCCTGCCCTCCTAGTCCAACTTGCAGTGAGGAGCTGGTTCCTCCAAACATTCTATGCATTGGTCTCAGACGCTGGGCATCCACTGTTGGCCCAGAAGCCATTAAGAACAGCAGTGGGCAAGTTTATGAGGTTATCTGGGATTCGGCTGCCTACCAGGTCCTTCAGGTTCTTCCAGTGGGAAGGAGGTCTGAACATGGAGCAGAGCCCTAGCTGCCTCCTGGTTAGCTTCCTCCCTGACCATTATGGCTCTTGGAGGCCATCCCAGATCTTTCATGGGGGCCTTGTCTTACAGTGAGGGCTGGGAGCAGAACGGCCTCTATGAGTTCTTCCGAGCCAAGATGCGGGCAAGGCGGCGCAAGGGCCAGGAGAAAAGGAACAGGTGACCCGAGTGGGTGTCATGGGGCCAGCCCCGCGGTATGTGGTACCCTAACTGGCCATCCTCACTATGGCATTACCCCTGCAGCGGCCCCTCCAGGTCACGCAGCAGATCCAAGAGCCGAGGACGCTCATCATCTCGCTCCAGCTCACGCTCCTCGAAGTCTTCGCGCTCCTCCTCACGCTCACGGTCCCGCTCCCGCTCTCGCTCCTCCTCACGCTCCAGGTCCAGGTAGGCACATGGGAGCATTGGGAAGCCCATGTACACTGCTCCTACCAGCCCTCCATTGTCCCACTGTCCCCACAGAAGCCGCAGCCGGTCACGCTCTTCCAGAAGCCGCTCACGCTCCAGATCCAGATCCAGGTCCAAGTCATACTCTCCAGGGAGGCGGCGCCGCTCCAGGTCCAGGAGCCCCACCCCACCGTAAGCGGCTGGTGTGGGGTATTCAGAGGCACCCCTATTGCTAAAGGGCAGGTGGCATCACTCAGACCAACTGGGCCAGCCCACAGGTCCTTTCCTACCATGCTTAAATGGCTGCTCTCAGTGCTCTAAGTTCCATTATAGAGTTCACCAGCTTACCACATGGCTCTCTTCATTCCAGCTCCGCAGCTGGCCTGGGTTCTAATTCAGCACCTCCCATACCAGACTCGAGGCTTGGAGAAGAGAACAAAGGCCATCAGATGCTGGTGAAGATGGGTGAGTACCTGGGTCAGTGCCAGCTTTCTGCATGGGACCCTGCTGGGGGTTCAGCCTTGCCATGTGCACCTCCTTTACTCCCTCAAGGTTGGAGCGGGTCTGGTGGCCTTGGTGCAAAGGAGCAAGGCATCCAGGACCCCATTAAGGGCGGCGATGTCCGGGATAAGTGGGACCAATACAAGGGCGTGGGCGTGGCCCTGGATGACCCTTATGAGAATTACCGCCGCAACAAGAGCTACTCCTTCATTGCCCGCATGAAGGCCCGCGATGAGTGTGAGTAACGGTGTGGGTGGGCAGGACAGGCATAGTCCTGCTGGAAGGGTGGAAGTGACGGCCCTGTTCTCACACAGTCTCCACATTTGGGGCGAGAAAGGAAGAAAAGGAAGACTAACACAGGCCTCGGGTGGCGCTGCGCAGTGTGGAAGGGGTTCCGGCTTGGCTTGCGCATGTCCTGGAGGAGGTGCTGCAGATAACTCGGCCTCTCAGTGCCAGGATAGCAAAGCTCAAAACCAAGACCACCCCGACCCCCACCCCCAGTGATGCTCAGCCCAGAGCCAGGTAGTGAAACCCACACTGCACATGGGACTGGAAAAGCCTGGCCTCAGAGCTGCAGAGGTCAGAAGGAATTTCATTTTGGTTCCACCTGGCTTTGTGTTAGAAAAGAGCGAAGGCTGACTCCTGATGTGTGGGGTCGAGAGACCCTACTCCTCCGTTCGCCGTTTAGCTGCATTTTATCCCTTTCCTCAAATGTTAGCTGTTTGCTATCAGCTGGACACAGCTTCCGAGGAGACGGGGTCAGGAAAAGATGGCCTCCAGAGTTCCTCCACCCAGCACAGCGCCTCGGCCTGCAGCTCCCGCCTGGGGAGCCCAACACCAGCGAGGAGCACCCCAGAGCATGGGGTGCCATGGAGTGCGGGGCACCAGCCAGGCAGCACTTCCTGCGCTGTTTGATTTGTGTGCCCCAGTCATTCCCAGGGAAGGAGGGAGGGAGGCCCAGGAGCTCCTGGGGTTGCAGCAGCCTGGTGCCAGTTATTTGTACAGACTTTTGAAATGTTCTTTTCAATAAAATGCAGAGCCCTCTACAACTTCTCAGCACCACATAAGACACTTGATTTTTGTTTTAGATTTCCCATAGCTGTGACGTGTGCAGACGTGTCTGACTTGGGACAAACAAGCAGACACATGTGCTGTTAACCACTGATTGTGGATTTTACTGTTTTGCCTTCAAATAAAGCCTTTTGTAAAAGATCAGTTTGTCCACCTGGTGGGTGAGATGTGCACACGGGCATGGTGCAGGCAGCTCCAAGGTGGATGCCAGCTCTGTTGGACACCATGCTCAGAAGACCTGTCTCAGCCCCTGGCGTGGAATATTCCCCATGGATGATCCAGACACCTGGCATGTGCAGTCTGTGGCTCCGTCCTGCTTTGAGTGCGTGTGGCAGGTCCTCAGCTGTCCTCATGACGTACCTGCAGAGCCACAAGCTGGGCAAGTGGGGGCTTAGAATCCATGTATGGTTGTTACTGAGCAGAGATTAACCAGGAGATCCCCAGCCTTGCCTGCCCTCACATGAATGAGATGAACAGAGGTAACCAGGCAAGCCTCACCTACTGGGACTTGAAGTGAAGCTCCTCCTTTGCCTCCTGAAGGGCAGCCTCCATGGTCAAGGGTGCAGGCCTGTGACACCTAATGTACTGTAGGACAGAGGACAGTAAATAAAATATGGCTACAGGCACACGAAACTTCTGGGCCCTTAGCCTGGGAGACAGACTGCCCCAAGGTGCTACATTCAAGATGTCCTAGAGTGAAGAGCCACGCTGGGTTCTGGGTGACGTGGTCAGGCTGGGAAGTAGCAGTCTTAGGATAAGAGGCTGAGATGTCACATCAAACATCTCATTGTGAGCTGGTGTGGTGGTGGAACACACCTGTAATCCTAGTATTTGGGAGGCTGGGGTGGGGGAATGTAAAGTTCTAGCAAGACCCATCAAAAATAATGTGGAGCCTGCAAGATGGCTAAGTGAGGTAAAGGTACTTCCTGATAATTTGACCTCAATCCCCAGGACCCACATGGAAGGAGACTCCTATCAGTTGTCTTCTGAATGAAACGAACTGGGAATGGTGGTGTATGCCTGCCATCACAGCACTTTGGAGCGAGGATGAGGCCAGCCTAGAGACAGACCCTGTATCAAGAAATGAAAGCTGGACAGATGGCTCTGGCTGAAAGCACTGGCTGCTTTTTGCAAAGGACCTGGGTTTGGTTCCCAGCACCCACACAGTGACTCACAACTGCCTGTAATTCTAGCTCTAGGAAATTTAATGTCCTGAGATCCTAAGGCACATGTATACATACACATACATGCAGCAAAATGAATGTAAAAATAAGGATCAGCTGAGTGGTGGCACACACCTTTAATCCCAACACTCAAGAGACAGAGTAGGTGGATCTCGAGTTCGAGGCCAGCCTGGTCCACAGAGTGAGTTCCAGGACATCCAGAGCTACAAAGAGAAACCCTCCATTAAAAAAGGAAGGAAAATCAAAGTCCCAGAAAAATTCTTCAAAGACCTTGAAAGAATGGTACTCAACTTCATTTGGAAAAGCAAAAAACCCAGGAAAGCCAAAACAATCCTGGGCAATAAAAGAACTTCTGGAGGTATCACAATCCCTGACTTCAAACTCTACTACAGAGCTACAGTACTGAAAACAGCCTGGTACTGGCATAAGAACAGACAGGAGGATCAATGGAACCTAACTGAAGACCCAGATATCAATCCACACATCTTCGAACACCTGATATTTGATAAAGAAGCAAAAAATGTCAAATGGAAAAAAGCTTAATTAACAAGTGGTGTTGGCATAACTGGATATCAATATGTAGAAAAATGAAAACAGACCCATATCTATCACCATGTACAAAACTCAAGTCCAAATGGATCAAAGACCTCAACATAAAGCCAGCCACACTAAACCTTATAGAAGAGAAAGTGGGAAATACACTTGAATGCATTGGCACAGGGAACCACTTCCTAAATAGAACCCCAGTAGCACAGACACTGAGAGAAACAATTAATAAATGGGACCTCCTGAAACTGAAAAGCTTCTGTAAAGCAAAGGAAACGGTCAACAAGACAAAACGACAGCCTACAGAACGGGAAAGGAACTTCACTAACCACACATCAGACAGAGGTCTGATCTCCAAAATATACAAAGAACTCAAGAAATTGGACACCAAAAGATCACATAATCCAATAAAAGAAAAATTGAATACAGACCTAAACAGAGAACTCTCAACAGAGGAATCTAAAATGGCTGAAAGACACTTAAGGAAATGTTCAGCATCCTTAGTCATCAGAGAAATGCAAATCAAAACAACTGTGAGATTCCATCTTACACCTGTAAGAATGGCCAAGATCAAAAACACTGATGACAACTTATGCTGGAGAGGTTGTGGGGGAAAAGGGAACACTTCTGCATTGCTGGTGGGACTGCAAACTGGTACAATCCCTTTGGATGTCAGTGTGGTGATTTCTCAGAAAATTAGGAAATAACCTTCCTCAAGATCCAGCAATACCACTTTTAGGTATATATCCAAAGAATGCTCAATCGTGCCACAAGGACATGTGCTCAACTATGTTCATAGCAGCTTTGTCATAGTCAGAACCTGGAAACAACCTAAATGCCCCTTGATCAAAGAATGGATAAAAAAAATGTGATACATTTACACAATGGAGTACCACACACAGGAAAAAAAAAAATGACAGCTTGAATTTTGCAGAAAAATGGATGGTACTAGAAAACATTATTTTGAGTGAGGTAACCCAGACACAGAAAGACAATTATCACATGTACTCACTCATAGGTGGTTTTTAAACATAAAGCAAAGAAAGCCAGCCTACAAACCACAATTCCAGAGAACTTAGACAACAATGTAGACACTGAGAGAGACTTACATCGATAAAATTTACATGGGAAATAGAAAGTATAAAAAGATAAGATCTCCTGAGTAAATTGGGAGCATGGGGACCTTGGGGGAAGGGTTGAAGGGGGAGGGGAGAGGCAGTGAGGGGAGCAGAGAAAAATGTAGGGCTCAATAAATATCATGAAAAAAAAATAAATTAAAAAAAAAGGAAGGAAAGAGTGGGGAGGGTGCTCTCCAGAGTTAGCCCAAGAAACAAGCAGCTGCAGCCTGTACCCATCCCTAACATGGTGTCCAGAGTGCAGTCCAGCCTGAGGGGACAGGCACCCCAGTCCCATTGCTAGCCCACCCGGGCTATGACCAGTTACCTCTCTGGTTTCCTCCAGGGTGTGGTAGTGGAATGCTTCCCCGTCCAGGGACTGCAGGAGGGACACGTGCAAATGGCGACTGGCCTCGATGAACTGCTGCGTCAGGCTCAGCTGCTGCTTCAGCATGTCATTCAGCACCAGCACTGCAGGGCTGTAGGCTGTCAGGGCTGCAACCAGCACAGCCCATGTTGCTCAGTGGCTCTTGAGTGCCACCTGTGCCGCCCACAATCCCTCCCCCTCAGATTCCTGCAGACCTTCTGTTTTCTGGCCAGTCTGCCCTCACAGCCATGAAGTTCTTCCTGAGTCTCTGTTCTATATTAACCAACATAACATACATGAGCTCCACTAAAGGTCAAGAAAAATCTTTAGCTGGGCATGGTGTCACATGTCTGTCATTCCAGCAGAGGCATATGAGGCGTTAGGATCTGACGCTCCAAGCCAGCTTGGGCTATGTATGCACGGAAAGCCTCCCAACCCTACCCCCAGTCCACCCCCAAAGACAAAATGTTGGTCTTTTTGTTGTTGTTTTAAGAGACGAGGTTTCACTGGGTGTTAATGGTACTTATCTTTAATTCCAGCACTCAGGAGGCAGAGGCAGGCGGATCTCAGTAAGTTCGAGGCCAGCCTGGTCTACAAAGTGAGTTCCAGAACAGCCTGGGCTACACAGTGAGACCCTGTCTCGGAAGGGGGTGGGTGGGAGAAGAGAGAGGCTTCACTATAAACTCCTGCATTCAAGTGATTTTCCTGCCTCCGTTGCCTAAGTAGATTTGATTACAGGCTTAGGAATGCCAAAGTAGGGACTTTAAAAAAGAACTAAAACTGGAGATAGGCAAAATGACCCAATAGTGACTGCATGGCAAGGCTGGAACAGACTCAAGGTTTTTCTGATAGCTGACCACCAGCCCATGACTCCTAGACTCCTGGGTTTGGTTAAACCTAGGTGTCCCTTCACCAAAGACAGAAAGAGGTTCTAGCCACCCTTAGGCTATTCAACACCACCCTGTCAGCTGCTGCAACCCCCTCCCCCAGGGACCCCAGAAAGTCACCTTTAGCAAGTACTGCCCTGTGCTGCAGGAATGGCTGGACACTGTGGGGAAGGAATGAGGTCCCAGCTGTCTGTTACCTTCTATAGCGTCCGCGCTGACAATGTGACTGGCGATGGGTACTGGGTCCACGTAGGCGCCTCCAAGGGTGGGGCCAATGGCCGCCATGCCACCAGCTGGCCCAAGACAAAGATGGGCTGCTGAGTGTGGTACAATGCCAATGAGCTAAGCTGCAGTTCCCATCCCTGTCTCCTGGATTGCTTACTGGTTGGTTGGAAATGGGTCTGGAAACCATGGTACCCAGGTTTGCTTTGAGCCAGAAATCTGCCTCATCCTCTTGGCATCCAGAACAACACGTGAACAAGCATCTTTGTTTCATCTACTTTTCCTGTGTGTGCGTGTGTGCATGTGTGTATGCATGTGCAGACTGATGTTCCCATTAGGAGTCCCCCATGCATGCCCACTTTATTCTGGGTCCTGACTCAGCCTTCTAGGGCTGGGATGACAGGTGGGCCACCACAACCACCTGGCATTTACATTGGTTTTGGAGTTCCAGGCCTTAATCCTCATGTTTGCAAGGCCAGCACTGGGCCACTGAGCATCTTCCCAGTCTGCACTGTGAACTTTAAAAGCTAATTCAGGTTTCCTCCAAAGACAGGCTGGGCCGGGCGTCAGTTCTCAGAAAGCTCATCCACCTTCCACAAAGTCCATTATCCGCTGATGATGATCATCATCCCCGTGCCATGAGTGGTGGCACAGGCCTGTCACCTAGCACTCAGGAAGCTGAGGCAGGAGACCAAGTTCAAGGTCATCTTCAGCTACTGTCCAATCTGAAGCCAGCCTAGATTAAAGGAGACCCTTGTCTCAAAAACACAAACAACCCTGAAAGGCTTACGTGGAGCAAGGAGGGGGCTTAGTACCTTCCAATGGCCTCCATTGACCGCCGATGCTCTTCCCCACCCCGCCACGACAACAAGGTCAAGTGAAGCCCCAAAGTCAAAACCATCAAGAGAACTGCAGCCTTCCCCAGCAGAGGGGGAGGTGTGAGCAGCACAGCCCCCTGCCTGCAGCTGACTAGAGAAAAGGTCCAGAGCAATGCTGGTGAGGAAAGAAGCCTGAGACCACAGTTGGAAAGAGCTGGAAAGGACAGAAGCATCTGGAAAGTCCCAGTGGGTGTGATAAGAGGAGATGCTTTCAGAATACACTGACACCAGGTGGTAGTAGCGCACACCTTGAATCCCAGCACTTGAGAGGCAGAGGCAGATGGATCTCTGTGATCTTGGAGGCCAGCCTGGTCTACAAGAGCTAGTTCCAAGACAGGCTCCAAAGCTACAGAGAAACCCTGTCTCGGGAAAAACAAAACAAACAAAACAAAGCAAAAGCAGACTACACTAGCTACTAACGTCAAACATGTGACCTTGTGGATGGCAGTCTGGACTGCACCTAGTGAGGACCTGGGTGCAGGGGTTGCAGACAGGTTGGTGGGTAGGTATCCTCCTGTCCCCTCCCCATAGCAGGCACCAGGAGCATTCTGCCCCGGGGCCCGTGCCCTAAATGTCCACAGATTTAACTGTCACCCCAGGGTCTGGACTGGCCTTAAGTCTTTGGTTCTGAAATTTAAGTATCAGAGCTGGGAGGCCAGAAACACTACCTGCTGCCTCCTTATCCTGAGAAGATGAAACAGGGTGCCAACATCCCCCAAAGCTGGTTAATGGCAAGAGCCCAGATTGGAGGACCTATCCTTTTCTGCCTGCTCCCAAAGACACTGCAGTGTCACGTGGGCCCCTGCTCACCCTTGCTCCACTGGCCAGCAAAGGCAGGGTCAAGAGTCTGCACGGCTGTCTCCTTCATGACTCCAGCCACACCTTGACCCCACTTTTTCTTTGGGGACAGTCTGGGAAGATGATCTATCTGCCCACTGGACAACAGCTGCGATGAAGTGTCCAGTGTCCTCTCAAGTGACGCTTCTGAGGTCAAGGGGCCAGAGTACTGCTCAAAATCCTCAGAGTAAGCCAGACTGGCCTCAAGTGCAGTGTGAGTCTCCGCAGACGGCACGCTGGACACACTTTGGGACTGGACAGCTTCGGCAGAACTGTCACCCAGGTGCTCCGACACTTCAGTGGCAAGGCCCTCTTCCTCAGCAACCACAATGGCCGCACCCTGAAATGCAGCGCTCTTGTGCTGGGTAGCCCTCTGCTCTTCCAGCCAAGCGGGTGACATGGGTGGAGAGCTTCTACCTGACATCCCTTCCCTTCCAGAATCTTCCCCCTAAAAGGAGCAATGGCAGCAGAGGTGGAGGGAATTTTAGAAAGGTTAAAAATGCCCCTTCAGCCAGGCACAGCAGCATACGTCTGTGACCCAGCACTCAAGAGGGAATGGCAAATTCTAGGCTAGCCTGGGCTACACAGCAAGACCCTCTCTCAGAAACACAGGTAGTAATCTAGGCAGAGTAATACACACCTTTAATCCCAGCATTTGTAGGCAGAGGCAGAAGGATCAGGAGATCAAGACCAGCCTTAGCTACATAGTGAGTTTGAGGCCAGCCTGGGCCACATGAGAACCTGTCTCAGAAAACCAAAAGTAAAAATAAAGACAGCTGTGGTATATCACACTTGTAATTTCATCCCTTGGAACACAGAAGCAGGAGGACTGTTCCATCTAAGGTCATGCCTGGCTACAGAGCGAGACCCTGCCCCCCTGATATCTCCAATGAGAAGAATTAAAAGTATTTTTTCTGTGGACTGGAAAGACGGCTCAGCAGGAAGAGGAAGCACAACAACCTGAATGAGATTCCCTAGACAACATGAGGGTGAAGAGCAGACTCCCACAGCGTACACACACACACGCACATGCACACACATGCACGTACACATTCGCCTCCAGAAACACATAATTAAAAAATAAAATAAAGGGACTGAAGAGATGGCTCAGTGGTTAAGAGCATTGCCTGCTCTTCCAAAGGTCCTGAGTTCAATTCCCAGCAACCACATGGTGGCTCACAACCATCTGTAATGAGGTCTGGCGCCCTCTTCTGGCCTGCAGACATACACACAGAATATTGTATACATAATAAATAAATAAGTATTTTAAAATAAAATAGAATAAAAATACCCATTAAAAGCCAGGTGGTGGTGGTGCATGCCTTTAATCCCCAGCACTCGGGAGGGAGACGCAGGTGGATCTCTGTGAGTTCGAGGCCAGTCTGGTCTACAGAGTTCCAGGAGAAGCCCTGTCTCAAAAAACAAGACAAAAAACCAACCAAACAAACAAAAATGCCCTATACACGCAAACAGGTACCTCCTTATGGTCCTATGAACTTTAAAGGTGCACCCTGTGTGTCACTGAACACACATCTGATGGGGCAGATAGGAGCCTGGGGCCACAAGTGGCTGGGACTGCATCCCACTCAGCCATGCTGAAAGCTGTAAAGAGGGTCTATGGCCGGGTATGGTGGCACACACCTTTAATCCCAGCACTTGGGAGGCAGAGGCAGGTGGATCTCTGTGAGTTTGAGGTCAGCCTGGTCTGCAAAGTGAGTTCCAGGACAGAAAGGGTTACATAGTGAGACCCTGTTTGGCGGGGCAGGGATAGTGGTTCTGATCACTTCTTGTTTTTTGAAAAAGTGTCTCTCTATGTAACTAGCGCTAGCTATTGTGGAAGTCACTCTATTGTGTTAGTATGACACTAACACAAGCATCTAGGACTGCCCAGGATAGGAACAGCTGGAGAACCACCATAAACAGCTGCTGGGCATAAATAATGAAACGATGACATGTGCGTACATGCAAGTGAGCACACCTGTGTTAGTGTGTGTGTGTGCATACGTAAGCGCACATGGTATTTAGAGTGTGCAAATGTGAGCTCACGTGTGTAATATAGTGCGTACATATAAGTGTGAGTGCACGTGTATTATTCTGTGTGTGCACATTTGAAAGCATGCATATTATTTAGCGTGTGTGTACATGTAAGCATATGTGACAGTCCGAGGACAAAGTCAGGAGTCAGCGGGAACTCGGGTTGTCAGGTTTGGAGGCAAGCACCTTCACCTGCTAAGTATCTTCCCAGCCCATGGGGTCCCTTCTGGACTTAGTGTCTCTTTTCTCTCCGCCTCTGTCTCTCTCTCTTTTCTTTGTGGTTATTTTTCAAGACAGGCTTTCTCTGTGTAGCCCTAGTTTGTCCTGGACCTCATCATGTAGACCAGTGGCCTCAAACTCAAGAGATACATCAGCCTCTGCCTCCAGAGTGCTGGGAATAAAGACGTGCGCCTCCACCACCCTCTGATTAAATGGTGGAACTCATGACATGTGAGTCAGAACATTCTTTGGTGACCGCTGCAGAACACTTGTGGGCTGTGGTGCACAGTGAGCATACACACAAAATGGGGAAATGCATGGCATACACCTTTAATCCCAGCACTGGGGAGGCAAAGGAGAGAGGCTCGCTCTGAGTTTGCAGCCAGTCCAGTTGATAGACAGAACTCTGGACTGGTCAGGACTATAGACTGAGAGCCTGTCTTACAAACATACATACATACATACTACATAATACATACATGATAAATCAGTACAATAAAATGACCCATTATACTTACTTTCTGTTCCACATCTATTTTCTCTCCATCAGCCAGAACCAGATCCTCAATGGACAAAATATTAATTCTAAAATCTGTAATTTAAAAATAAGTGCACTGTGAGATGGAAAGGTGCCAGCAGCCAAGCCCGACAGAGACCAACTGCTAGTTGTCCTTAATGCCCCACGGGCTCCACGGGCCCCACGGGCATGGGCTCCCCTCAAATATCACAATAAAGAAAAGATGTCGGGGCTGGAGAGACAGCTCAGAGGTTCAGAGTACTGGCTGCTCTTCCTGAGGGAGTTCAGTTCCCAGTAAGTCCCAGGACCCCAGGGCAGCTCACAACCGTCTGTGATGGGATCTAGTGTGCATGCAGACTACGAATTCACACAGAAAATGCATAAATAAGGAAATCTTTTAAAGAAAGAAAAAGAAGCCAGGCAAGATGGTGCAGGCCTTTAATCCTAGGCATTCAGGAAACCGAGGCAGGTGGATTTCTGTGAGGCCAGCCTGGTCTGCATAGTGTGTTCTAGGACAGCCATGCTATGTTGAGAGACCTTGTCTCAAAAAGAACAAAAGTAACAACAAAAAATCATGAATCTGGGAGAGGAATTAACGGGTGGGAGAGACAGTACCAGAATGCATTGCACACGTGTATAAGATTGTCAAAGAACAAGACTACAAAGTTAGTACAGTGGAGTGAAGAATATAGCCAATTACTAAAATGTCAGTTCTGGCTGGGTGGTCGTGCACACTAATCCCATCACCCGGGAGCCAGAGGCAGGCAGATCTCTGTGAGTTCGAGGCCAGCCTAGTCTGTATACAGGACAGGCTTCAAAACTACACAGAGAAACCCTGTTTCAAAAAAAAAAAGAAAATCAGTTCTGCCCCTCGAGGTCCCTCAACAGAACCACCTCCTGCCGTTTTTCATCCCACCCAGTGACAATGTGACAAAGCAGCAAGACACCCCTGCCACACAGGCCACAGAAGTCTAGAACCCACTGCCAGGTCAACTTCTGTTCTCTGAATTATCTAGTCTGGGATGTAGTTCCTAGGTACAGCACTTGCCTAGCATGCAGGAGGCCCTGAGTTCAAAGCTCAGCACTGCTAAATGAACCCATTAAATAAATAGCCCAGGGTGTGGACTGTTCTTGAGACAGGGTTGCATATAACCCAGGTGGGCATCAGACAAAGTAGGCACTTGAGGGTGACCATGAAGCCCTGGTCCTCCTGCTCTTCCTCCTGCCCTCTTCTGTGCTAGAATGACAGATGGGCACCACTATCAACAACAACAACCACAACTTTTCATTTCTTTTTTAGATTTATTTATGAGTGTTTGTCTTCACGTTTGTGTGTTTAATGCCTGCAGAGTCCAGCAGAGGGCATAAGATCCCCTAACCGGAGTTATAAGCAGTTGTGAGCTACCATGTGGGTGCCGGGAACTGAGCCTGGTTCTCTGCAAGAGCAGCCAGAGCTCTTAGCCACTGAGCCTTCGCTCCAGCGCCATCCACAGCTTTTCAGTGTTTCCCTTTCTCTGACCAAGGGTAGGCTATGAGAGAAGAATAGACTCAGGCCCAGGCCTGGCACACAGGCCTGCCTTCTCAACACTCAGTGGTAGAAATGAGGGACAGACAAAGGAGTCACCGATTATCTATTAGCTATTATCTCAATGGTACAAGGACTGTATGTCGTGCTGGCCTCGAGCTCCACAATGCTGCTCTAGTAGCATTGAGAGAAAGATTGTCAACCGACTGGCAGTTCACCCAGGCCTGCTGCCAGTGTGACAGGATTGCCACCACTTACATCCTGCCCACCACAATGCCCTGGGACAGTAGGGGATGGGTTACCATGGAGACTGTCATCAGCAGCTTCTGAGATTGGCTCCTCTGAAGACCCCACCTCACTCCTGCTGGGGGAGGAAGCCAGCTTGATGCACCCCATCTTTGAAGATGCTGACATTGAAAGGTCATTTGTGATGGAAGGTGAGGATGTGAGGGAGGCTGTGTCCTCAGCATTGAGAGTCCAGGGGGCGTCTAGCCAAGGTGAGGGATGAGAAGGCTTTGAGCTGGTCGGGTCCACAGAGAGCAGAGACAAGACTCCTGGCTGAGCTGGAGGTGGGTCCTGTTTTTGTAAAAAGAAAGGGCTGAAGTTACCAACACAAACAACATAAATTCTTACCATCCCAGGAGCCACTAGTGGGTGGATGACCAGCAAGATGGCTCAGGGAGCAAAGGCGCTTGCTGCAGAGCCTGCGGGTTTGAGACCCATGTGGTGGAGGGAAGTGAACTGACCTTGGCAAGTTGTCTTCTTAGCTCCGTGTACACATGTGTACACACTAAAGCGGGTGTGCATGCATACACACACACTTACTTGCAAATAAATAAATGTTAAAAAATATATATAGCCAGGCAATGGTGGTGTGCAACTTTAACCTCAGCACTCGAGAGGCAGAGGCAGGTGGATCTCAGTGAGTCTGAGGCCAGCCTGGTCTACAGAACGAGTTCCAGGACAGTTAGGAATGTTATACAGAGAAACCCATCTTGAAAACCAACCAAACAAACAAAAAATCCCTACTCTAAGGGACAATGACAAGTAAAGTACCTGCCACATGAGCACAAAGACGTGAGTCTGACCCTGAAATGTGGGTGTGGACACTTTTCAGTCCCGCTCTGGTGAAGCAGACACCAGTGGGTCCCTCGGACCACTGGCCAGCCAGTCTGGGCTCAGCAGTGAGCCTCAGGTCAGTGAGATCTTGTAGCGACAGCCAAGACTGACCTCTGAATTCCACACACCTGCACACGTGTGTCACACAAGTACACATTTGGAAGATCATGGGGTGGGCGTGGCTGAGAAAGGAGGGTCTTGGGTTCCGAGTTTCTTTCCTTGGTGCGGATTCTGCACCCAGCCTAGCTAGCTGATGCGGGTACAGTCAAGGAGAGGGAACTGCACCCTGTTGGTCCCACCCAGCTCAGCGAGGGTGAGCAGAACAGATGAAAGAGCCCTGGAGAAGGCAGCAGGTATCAAAGCAGGGCCTAGAACCTTCCCGAGCTGAGCTGCTCCAGTGTCTCTTTGAGTGACAAGTATCTTCAGTCATCTGACACTTGCTCAGAGCCAAGGACTTCCAAATTGCTTCAGCAGGGTTATGTCTGATACCCACAAGGTGACTGAGAAAACATCGTGTGACGGTCCGAGCCTACACACGTGACAGAGTGAACAAGGGGAATAGGACTGAGTCAAAAGTGTGCTGTCCAGATGCACACCTGTAATCCCAGTGCTCAGAAAGCAGAGGCAGGCTCTGTGAGTTCGAGGCCAGCCTGGTCTACATTGCTAATTTCAGGACATCCCGGGATACATAGAGAAAATAAACAAAAACATACATAGAAAAAACAAAACAAAACAAGCCGGGTGGTGGTGGCGCACGCCTTTAACCCCAGCACTCGGGAGGCAGAGGCAGGTGGATCTTTGTGAGTTCGAGGCCAGCCTGGTCTACAGCGTGAGTTCCAGGACAGGCTCCAAAGCTACAGAGAAACCCTGTCTCAAAAAACCAGCCAACCAGCCAAACAAAAAACAAAACAAAACAAAGAACAAGAAACTCTCCCCTCCAGGTAGGCTCACTTGTAGTGCCAGAAGGTAGCACTCAGGGTGCAGGGGAAGCAGGACCCAAGGTCCTGCATGCTGATCAGCAGCGCTAGGGCAAGACAAGTCAGCTGCTGGGTCAGCAGATAAATCAGCTTCCTGACTGGACGTAAGGCACCTCCACAGGGGTCACCCAAAACTGCTACTTTGAATTTACATAGAATCCAGGCCCAGAAGAGTCAGGCTTGGGGAAATCAAGAAATCGAGAGCCATGGCTTTAGTAAATGATTTCTCTTGGGCTAGAGAGATGGCTCAGAGGTTAAGAGCATTGACTGCTCTTCCAGAGGTCCTGAGTTCAATTCCCAGCAACCACATGGTGGCTCACAACCATCTGTAATGAGATCTGGTGCTCTCTTCTGGCCTGCAGGCATACATGGAGGCTGAACCCTATGTACATAATAAATAAATAAAAAGAATGGGTTTATTAAAAAAATGATTTCTCGGGCTGGAGAGATGGCTCAGAGGTTAAGAGCACTGACTGCTCTTCCAGAGGTCCTGAGTTCAATTCCCAGCAACCACATGGTGGCTCACAACCATCTGTAATGAGATCTGGTGCCCTCTTCTGGCATGTGGGCATACATGGAGGCTGAATACTGTGTACATAATAAATAAATAAATCTTTAAAAAAAAAAAAAAAGATTTCTCTTTTTGACCCTGAGCTATCGCTCACCCTGGGCTATGGTCATCAGCTGTCTTTCGGCCATTTCTGCTCCTTAAGTATCCCCAGTAAACTCATTCATTCTCCAAGTTGGACTGGCTCCGTCTGGGCTGGGATGTCTGGTCACATCTCCCTGGCAACGGTGCCACACCACAGCTGCTCCCACGGGCTAGAACAGCTTTCTCACACAACCCAAGACCATCCAGGCACAAGACCACAGTGGGCTGAGCCCTCCACATCAATAAACAATCAATAAACACCAATAAACAATTCTTCAGAACACAGTGGTGGGCCCACCTGATGTGGGCAAGCATTCAACTGGACTTCTCTCTTCCCAGGTGATTTCTGGTTATATCAAGTTGACAAAGCTAACTAGGACAAGGCACTTGCTGCTCTCTAAGGGGACCTGAGATTGGTTCTCAGCACCCGCATCAGGCGCCTCACAACCCTCTTTAATTTACGCACATATATGCACAGAAGGGGGGGTGTCTCTGAGGTGTAGCTCACTAGCTGACCATCTGCTTGTGATGCTCAAAACTCTGGGTTCCATCCCTAGAATCACAAAAATTCTAAAACATTGAAACCAACAAAAGAAAACCTCACCGAAGTCAACTTTCCAGGATCGCTCCTGCTGACTTTGGTGCTAGTGAGCACCTGGTTCATATTTGTTTCTTTCTCTCTAGAAGACTCCGTTAAGCTTCTGAGCAATATTTTCATTTCCTCTTCGTCACTGTCGGGACCATCACATTTTCCAGCAGGTTCTTTCTGTCTGTGTGGTGGGACACTCTTCCCTTTCTCCACCGCGGGCTCTGGGGACCTAACTTCAGTGGGTGGCTCTCTTCTCTTCAAAAACCTGCTACCTTGCTCTCTTTGCCCATCGCTCTTTGCCATGGGGCTTTTACAGGCTTGTTTCTGGAAAGTTCTGTATGGATGCTGAGAAGGAACATCAGACGCTGCATCTGTCCCCTTCTGACGTCGCTGCTCGCCGGTCTTTGAGTCAGACTCCGTGTCAGACAAAGCCGTGAGTGCCTGCTTCCGACTCCGGATCTTGGTTTCAATCTGAGCCAGCTTCCTGAGGGCCTCGTTGGCTCTGGTCTTGGAGGAGATAGTGGGGGGCCTCAAGTCCAACCTTGGCCCCCTCCCTGCCATAGCCTCCTCTTTGGATATCAGATATTTTTCATCCATCGTTTGGTTTCTCTTTAGGATTCTGTTCTGCCCCAGTGTCACTTGGCCGAGACTTCGGGCCTGGATGTTTCTTATCTCTTCCATCCTTGAGTCCTCTAAGGACGTATCACTGAAGTCAAATACACCATGACGAGGGCCAATGGGCCTTCTTGTGGAAGTCATTCTAGGAAAACCAAGATTGTGTTTTTAGTTTTTTAAAGTATTCATTTATTTTTGTTTCATTTTGCTTTTTCAAAACAGGGTTTCTCTGTGTAGCCTTCACTGTCCTGGAACTCACTCGGTAGGTCAGGCTGACCTTGAACTCACGAGATTCACCTGTTTCTGCCTCCTGAGTGTTGGGATTAAAGATGTGCACCACCACTAAAAGTCTGGCTAAAAATCTTTTAATCAGTTGTGATGCTACACACCCTTAATGTCAGCATTCAGGAGGCAAAGGCAGATGAACCTCTATGGGTTTGAGGCCAGCCTGGGCAATGGAACTCACTTCCCTTTCCCCAGTGCTGGCCCTGGGGACCTACCTAGCTTCAAGTGGCTCTTTCTTTTTCAGAAATCTGCTACCTTTCCCTCTTTGGCAGCCAGCAAAAGTCCAGCCAGCCAGTCAGAGCTATGTAAGGAGACCCTGTCTCAAAAAAGACAAAAATAAAAAATATGTGGATGTGTACACAATTGAGTGTATGTTTGTGCACCTTGATCATGCAGGAGTCCTTGGAGGTTAGAAGAAAGGTCAGATCCCCTGGAGCTAGAGTTACAGACATTGTGAACTACCATGTGAGTGCGGGAATTGAACCCAGGTCCTCTGCAAGAGCAATCAGTGCACCTCTCCAGCTCTTCTTTTTAAAAATTATCTTAACATTTGATTGCAATTTATTAAGTTATTTATTTTTTGTTTGTTTTGTTTTCCAAGACAGGGTTTCTCTGTAGCTTTTGGAGCATGTCCTGGAACTAGCTCTTGCAGACAAGGCTGGCCTCAAACTCACAGAGATCCGCCTGCCTCTGCCTTCCCAAGTGCTGGGGATTAAAGGCGTGCGCCACCACTGCCTGGCTCATTTTATTTAGTGTGTGTGTGTGTGTGTGTGTGTGTGTGTGTGTGTGTTTGCACTGTGGAGATCGGAGGACAAACAACAGAGCATTTGGGTCTCCGCTCTACCATGTGTGTTCTGGAACTAAGCTCACACCTTTCCAATGTGACATCAACTCACTGACCCAATGCGGTTACTTATAAGACTCCCTTATGTTACTCTCCTGTGTGCCAAATCTCCCACGTGGCAGAAAATCACACTGCCTGATAGAGAAAGAACACAATTGTCTCCACACACGAAAAGGAAAGAAAGAAAAAGATACAGGACAATAAAATCTGGAGTAACTCATTCCAAAGGGGCCCAAGTGAAAAGGAAATTATGAACATATTCATAGATCATTCACAAAATACAAAACTGGGAAATAATTCAGATGCCCATGAACTAGTGCGCAAACCACCGGAGTAGGGAATACAGTGGATAGGGTATTATTAACTTGTAAAACGGAGGGGAAGAGTCCTGGCTCAACCCTTGCCCACAACGACTTGAGTTTATTCCGAGAACCCACATGATCAAAGAAGAGAACTGATTCCTGCAATTCTTCCTCTGACCAAACAAATAAATGTAAAAATTTTCATTGCATTGTATAAACTTTTTAAAAAGTTTTATGTATTCACGAGCGCGGGAGTGCATGTCTACAATCTCAGTACTTTGAAAGTCCTGCACGCGGGAAGATCAGGAGTTGAAGGACAGCCTCGACTACACAGGGAGCTCCAGGCCAGCCTGGGCTACCAGAGATGCGGACTAACATAACGCAAAATAAAGGAGATGCGGACTAACATAACACACAAGTTAAAGGAACTAAGCAGTACATACTGTTGCCACTCAGTTTCCTCGCCTTTAGGAGTAAGCCTTACGGGATCACGCTCTGGCACGCTTCAACTGGGGAAACTGAGCTGCGGGGATGGCGCCTCTTTCCCGAACTTCCCCGCGAAACCAGATGCTCACTCTGAAGTCACCTGAGGAGATGCGTCGGCCTCTTCTCGCCTCGCCTGGCCGCTACGACAGAGCCTGGCTTTTGCCGCAAAGCACAGGTCCCGGGGTGCCGTTGCCCCAGGAGACTACCCCAGGGCCACAGGAGACTACATCTCCCGTCGGACACCGCGCTCCACCCACCAATGAGCGCCTCAGGTCATAATCGCGAGGCGTCACGGGAGTGGTAGTTCCAATGTGCACTCTCAGGGACCCTCAGGTCACAATCGCTAGGCATGACGGGAGTTGTAGTTTCTGGGTCGCGCCTGGTGGGCAGGGCAGACGCCTGAGAGCCGAAGAGCGAGAGTCGCGCGCGCCACGATGGCCCGGGCCCGGGTGTCGCTCTGGGCCATCTGCATGCTGCGCGTGGCGCTGGCCACTGTGTACTTCCAGGAGGAGTTTCTAGATGGAGGTGAAGGCGATGGCCGTGGTGGCTGGTGTTCTGGTCCACCATCCGTGCTCATCATCCCTAGCATTTGGCAGCGCTAACCCTCCTGTCTCCCCACAGAGCGCTGGAGGAACCGCTGGGTGCAGTCCACCAATGACTCCCAGTTCGGCCACTTCAGAGTCTCGTCGGGGAAGTTCTATGGGCATAAAGAGAAAGACAAAGGTTAGTGTAGAGTGTGGAGCAAATAGAGTGGCGTTAGAAAGCCGCACGGCATCCTGGCGGCGCACCCACCGCTTAAGTCACAGCTTTGAGTCACATGCAGGCTCTGCCCTACCTTGTACAGGTTTCCATTAAAATTGGTGGGGTTATTTTGGTTTTAGTTGAGACAGTCTCAACTCCCTAACTCCCAGCAGTTCTTCTGGGTCAGCCTCTCAAGTACTGGTTACTTATGTAGCCTATGTATGATTGGGGGAGGCTGTGTACCCTGAGCGTTGGAGTGCAACCAAGTGTTCAGGAGTCTTCTTGAGTACTGGAATGATAACTGGACCAGCAAGAACGACTGACTGTTTTAGTACGTTTTCAGTAGTTGTGCAAAATCGTCTCACTTCATGAAAATTAGAACAAGGCTGTGGCACACATGTGTGAGGAGTTCAAGTTCAAGACCAGCCTGGCTATGTATAGTGAGCTCTGGGCCAGCCTAAGATATAGTCAGATCTTGTCACAAAACAGAGGCAATTAAAATGAAAAATGGAGCCAGCAAGATGAGTCAGCAAGTAAAGGATTTATAGCCAATCTTAATGACCTGAGTTTGATCCCCAGGACCCACAGGGTAGAAGGAGGGAATCTATACCTACAAGTTGTCCTTTGACCACTACACATGCTCCCACACCACAAAATAAATAAGTAGATGTAATTTTTATTTTATTTTATTTTTATGAGATATAGTCTTTGTAGCCCTGACTGCCCTGGAACTCAGTCAGATCCGCCTGCCTTGCTTCTGCCTCTCTAGTGCAGGTATTAAAGGCATGCAGCCCCATACCTGGCTAATGAATGTAAACTTTAACCGGGCAATGGTCATGCACACCTTTAATTCCAGCACTCGGGAAGCAGAGACGGGAGATCTCTGTGAATTTGAAGGCAACTTGGTCTACAGACCAAGTTCCAGGACAGCCAAGGCTGCACAGAGAAACCCTGTCTCAAATAAATAAATAAATAAAATTAGAGAGATACTGGCAGGAGGATTAAAGGTCAAAGTCATTCTTAGCTACATAGCAAGTCAAGGACAACCTGGGCTAAATGAGAGCTTGTCTGGAGAAAAAAAAAAAAGATGTTTTATCTGAGACAGGTTCTCTCTAGGAAGCCCAGACTGGCCTGGTACTGCAGATTCTTCCACTATGCTAGGAAGTTTCATTTTGGTTTCTTGAGGCAGGGTTTCTCTGTGTAACAGCCTTAGCTGTCTTAGAACTCGCTCTGTAGACCAGGTTGACCTCGAATCTTAGAGATCCACCAGCCTTCGGAGTGCTGGGGTTAAAGGCTTGAGCCACCACCCCAAGGCTGGGAAAGTTTTTATTGAAACATCTGCACCACAGATGAAATGCAGACAGAGCAGCTCATTTACATATCCCTTGGATGCTACAAAGTAGCTGAAGAATTGAAACAGAGATCTGGTGACCCACTAGGTCTAAAACGTACCCTATCCAGAGTGGGGGTGGGGCTCAGTCTTGCCTAGCCTGCCCAGAGCCTCTGCACTACAGAAACAGTGTGGTGAGAGCAGGAGGAAGGCAGCTGGGGTGGGGGTGGGGGTGAAGGGCGGGAGGTGTGTGGGGCGGGGGAGGGGGCGAGAAAGGTCAGAACTTCCAACTAAGAAGCCAGCAGTTGGTGCTTGGGAGGCAAAGGCAGGCAGATCTCTGCCTTCGAGACCAGCCTGGTCTACAGTGTGAGTTCCAGGACAGCTAGGGCTACATAGTGAGACCCTGTCTCAGAGGGAGAAAAAAAGAAGTATCAATAATAATATAAAATAATTTTAAAAGCAGTAACAGTTCCCCACCCCAAGCTTTATGACTGAAGTGGGTAAAACAAGCCAACTATGGCATGAATGAGCCAGAGGATGTGGCTGTTGTCTGCCCACTGATTTTTCTGTCCCACAAAACCCTGTTTTATAAGAACAACAGATAAGGCCTGGTGCCTGGGGCTCTGGAAATCTGGAGTCCCTGCATGGTCTCCGAGGACCATGACCTATCAGTCACAGATGGAAAGATGGTAACAGGAGAGAATATGGCACCTAGACACAGAAGTGGGGAATTGTGTGACCCTTGGGATTGTCTGGCTGTGGGGGTAGGAGTGGGGTAGGGCTCTGAATCCCGTGTGGGAATGGGGAGCTAGCTTGGAGTTGAGGCTTAGATGTGTGGATCAACACCAAATTTGGACCACTGAGGTAAAGTAAAGGAACTTGATACCAAGACTAACTCCCTGCATGATTGAAGGAGAAACCTGATTCGCACAAGTTGGAGTCTGACCCTCACATGTGTGCTATGGCGCATGCTCTCTCCCCTCACCCTCACACACATACAAAATAAATTAAAAATTAAAAGAGCCAGGTGTAGTGGCATGCAGGAGACAGGCACAAGCAGATGTCTGTGAGTTCAAGGACAGCCAGGTCTATATAGAAAGACTGTCTCAAAACGAAAGGAAGGAAGGAAGGAAAGAAGGAAGGAAGGAAGGAAGGAAGGAAGGAAGGAAGGAAGGAGCAAAAAACAAAATACTAAGTTCATTTTGGGGAACTTGGGGTTTGGTTGATTGCTTGCTTGATTTACTGGTTTTGGGTTCTGCTGTTTATTTTGAGATGGGGGTCTCACTATGTAGCCCTGACTAGCCTGGTCTTGCTGTGTAGACCAGTCTGGCTTCAAACTCATGGATATGGGCCTGTCTCTACTTCCCCAGTTCTGGGGTTTAAGACACAAGCCACTTCAACCAGCCACAATAATTTTTTATTTTAATATTTTAAATTATTTCTGTGTAGAGTGTTTTTCTTGCTTGCACGTTTGTGCACCAACTGTGTGGCCCCTGCAGAAGTTGGAGGAGAGCATTGGATCCCCTGGAACAAGAGTTACACCCTGTTGGGAACCATCATGTGGGTGCGGGAACCAAACCTAGGTCTTCTACCAGAGCAATCCGTGCTCCTAACTCCTGAGCCATCTCTCCTGCCCCTGATTCCTGCTCCTAACTCCTGAGCCATCTCTCCTGCCCCAATTTTATTTTTGGTTTATTTGAGATAGGGTCTCAATATGTATCCCTGACTGGCCAGGAGTTCACCATCCGTCTGCCTCAGCCCCTAGCCCTCAGCATGCTAGGATATGACACCATACCTGTTCAGCTAAACTGCCTTCAGGTAGCAAGGGAAAACAAATGCATCAGAACTGGACATTATGCCTCACACCTGTCATAGAACCCTGACAGTACAGGCAGGAGGATGAGGAGTCCAAGGCTATTCTGCTGTGCTGGCTGCTTTTTTGTCAACTTGACACAAACTTGGGTCGTCTGAGATGATGGACCCGTAATTGAAAAGTGTGTCAGTAGCGTTGGCCTGTAGAGGAACCTGTGAGGGATTTCCTTAGTGACTGTTGTGGGAAGACCCAACTCAGTGTGGACAGTGGCACCCCTTCTGGTCCTGGGGTATATAGGAATGTAGGCTGAGAAAGCCCCTAGGAGAAAGCCAGTAGGCAGCCTTACTCCATGGTTCCGCTTCACCTCCTGCCTCCAGGATCCTGTCCCAACCTCCCATCATGGTGGACTATGACCTGTAAGCTGAAGTAAACCATTTCCTCCTCAGATTGCTTTTGGTCATGGTGCTTATCACAGCACAGAAACTGACTAAGATACTTGGCTAAATGGGGAGTTTTAGGCCAGCCTGAGCTACTTGAGACCTGTCTCCAAAAAAAGTAGTGCTTTGTTTTCTTCAGTAGCTCTACAGCCTTCATTGTAGATTCTTTTGCGTTTTTTGGTTTTTCGAGACAGGGTTTTTCTGTAGCTTTGGAACCTGGCTTGAAACTCGTTCTGTAGACCAGGCTGGCCTCCAGCCCACAGAGATCCACCTGTCTCTGCCTCCTGAGTGCTGGGATTAAAGGCCTGTGCTACTACCACCTGGCTCTATATTCTTGCCTCATCAAAATTAGGGTAGCAAATTAAGCTTTTTGATATTATATCTAAGGTGTGTGGTATAGGCATGTGTGTGCACTGAAGAGATCAGAGTGTCCTGTCACTCTCCACCTTATTCCCTTAAGACAGGGTCTCTCACTGAACCTGGAGTTTGGATGGTGGCCAGTGAGCCCCAACCATCTTTCTGTCTCTAGGCACACACACACACACACACACACACACACACACTAGCAATGAAGTTACAGGCATGTGTTACCACACCTAGCTTTTTCAAGGGAGCACTGGAGATTGAAACTCGGGTCCTTCTTCTGCCACCTCAGTGAGGACTCTCACAATCTCAACTGTCTCTCCAGCCTCTGCTTTTTGTTTGTTTGTTTGTTTGTTTGTTTGTTTTTCTAGACAGGATTTCGCTGTAGTTTTGGAGCCTGTCCTGGAACTAGCTCTTGTAGACCAGGCTGGCCTCGCACTGACAGCAAACTGCCTGCCTCTGCCTCCCAAGTGCTGGGATTAAAGGCGTGCGCCACCACCGCCGGCTCAGCCTCTGCTTTTTAAGTGTGTGTGTGTGTGTGTGTGTGTACTTGCCAAGACACACATATAGAGATCAAAGGACAATGTGTGAGAGTCGGTTCTCCCCTTGCCATGTGGGTCCTGAGGACCCCACTCAGACTTCGCAGCAAGCACCCTGACCTGCTGAGCCATCTTATTAACCTGCTGTGTTGATTTTGAGGTGGTTTTGTGTATCCGAGGCTGACCTCGAATGCCTGGCCCTTCTGTCTCCTCCCAGTTACTTGGATATACCACTCCCATTCTATATGGTGCTGGGGATGGAGCCCCAGGTCTCTGGCCCAGTAGCTGAGCTTCCAGCTGAGCCACACCATGGCTTAGGAATTTTATAACATAAAGTCTAACAGCGGTGGAATTGAGGATGTGATCCAGAGGGAGAGCCAGTGCTGAGGATGTGCCAGGTCCTGTGTTCTCAGCACTTGGGAGGCAGAGGCAGGGGATCTCTGAGTTCAAAGCCACCCTGGTCTACAAATCGAGTTCCAGGACAGCCAGAGTTACATAGTGAGATCCTGTATTTTTGTAAATTGTGTGTGTGTGTGTGTGTGTGTGTGTGATGTGTGTGTACCAGGCACGTGTGATAGTATAGAGGGGCAGAAGTGCCTTGACATGTATGTGGAAATCAGAAGACAGCTTTTGGGAGTTGGCCTTCTTTCTATGACATGGGTCCTCAAGTGTCTAACTCCGGCCATCAGGCTCGGTCGCAAACACCCTCACCCACTGGGCCCTCTCACTGGCCCCAGCATAGGATGCATCTTAAGTCCACAGGTGTCTGGGTGTGTGAAGTGCAGGTCTTGACAGCAGAGAGCTTGTTACGGTATACTTCGGCACAAGGCTGTAGGTGGACGCTTCCTGTCCTGACTGTGTTGGTTTTAGGAGGGTCACGCAAAGATGGGGACAGACCACCAAAGTCTAATAAACCAGAAGCAATCTTTATTCCAAAAACCAGATTCCAGAAAAACCAGAAGTAAACTTAAAAATAAAAAAAAAAAAGAATAAAAAAAAAAACACTGCGGGGTACAGAAGCTTATCAGCTAGCTGAGACCACAGCCAGAGATGCTGTTTGTTAGGCTGTGGCAAAAGGCTGGTTTCTGATCTCATCTTTTTATAATTGGGCCACCAAGCATTAGGTCTGAACAAAAGAGTTTTTACGATCTTTCCCAGGTCAGTCAACATAGACCCTAAGGAGGGGAGTGGGTTCTAACATCCATGGGTAACTAGGCAGCTATCAAGAAATATGTTTCAGAGGAGATTACAGCAAAAGTCACTAATTGCAAGAAAACAGATGTCTTTAGCAATTAGTTAGAAAAAGGGACTGCTAGTAATATCAGAAGGTTAGCAAATTAGAATTAATTGGTTCTTAGGCTGGGAACTTAGAAGACAGCAGAAAGTTCTTCACACTATCTCAAGGTGAAACTCAGATACAGACTGCCATACTTTATAACCTTCATTATCAGAGCTCATTGGCTAAACCAGGTGTTTGCACCGTGTCCTCTGTCTCTCCTGGTTCCTCCAGGCAGTGTATACTGAAGCCCCATGCCTCCCCCTTGATGGTGCCAGTTTCCCAAAACAGAGACAGTGCCTAACCCAGAGGTCACGTTTCTCTGTCCCCTAGACGTTAGCTCAGTTCATATCCGTCGTTTATTAAGGATGGCCAGGACACTAGTCTCAGTTTGCAGAGAGAAGCTCTGGCCTTGTAAATAGAATAGCCAGTTATAAAATGAAATTACCTAGGCTGATGGAGGCTTCTTAAGTGTCTAAGAAAATAGCTTACTGTGAATGATTGACCCTTGATCTGCTGAGAAAGCTGCTGACAGTCTGTTCTCATTCTCCTAGACTTAAAACTTTATATTTCTTTATTACTACAGTATTATTTCTGAAATATACATTTTATTTTCTTATTCTTGGACCCTTCAACTTCCCGGTCCCAAATAACCACTCAGAGGCTTAATATTACTTATAAATGTTCAGCTGATAGCTCAGACTTGTTACTAGCTAACTCTTACATTTACATCAACCTATTTCTAGTGAAATCTATGCATTGCCACATGGCTCATGGCTTTACCTGTCCTCTAGCATGTCTGCTGGGTGGCTGGCTGGCATCTCTCTGACTCTGCCCTCCTTCTTCCCATCATTCTCAGTTTGGTTTTCTCACCTAACTTTCTGCCCAGCTACTGGCCTGTCAGCTTTTTATTAACCAATGAGAGTAACACATATTCATGGTGTAGAAAAGCACACTACGGCTGCTTTGTGCACGGTGGGAAATGCAAACAGGACCTCTGTTAATTGGGGGGTCACTGGTGACATGAATTTATGGTCCCTACAAGTTGCTGACTCAATCATGCTCACTTTCTGTTGGAAGGCCTGCAGACAACTCAGAACAGCCGCTTCTATGCCATCTCTGCGAGCTTCAAGCCGTTCAGCAACAAAGGGAAGACCCTGGTAATCCAGTACACAGTGAAGCATGAGCAGAAGATGGACTGTGGTGGTGGCTACATCAAGGTATTTCCCTCCGACCTGGATCAGAAGAATATGAACGGAAAGTCTCAGTACTACATCATGTTTGGTGAGTTCAGCAGGGAGGGCAAGCGTTTCCAACTTCACACGGAGGCTCTGCCGACAGGACTGATGTAGTAGTATTGAGCCTATCTGCCCCAAGGTTTGTCAGCACTGCACACCAATGCAGGCTGAGTGTTCTCGGGACTAAGAATCAAAGAGCCGCAGGGCGGTGATGGCACATGCCTTTAATCCCAGCATTCAGGAGGCAGCGTCAGGTGGATCTCTGTGAGTTTGAGGTCAGTATGGTCTACAGAGCGAATGCCAGGACAGATTCCAAAGCTACATACAGAAATCCAAAAAATCAAAAAGCCAAAGGACTCTGAATCTGAACCTGTTTTTTTTTTTTTTGAGGTTTTTTAAAATTCATTTAATTTACATGCATGTGTGTGCAACATGTACATTGATGACTGCAGAGGTCAGAAGAGGTCGTCAGTTTTCCTGGAGCTGGAGTTACAGGCAGTTGTGAGCTATCATATGGGTGCTGGGAACAGAATCTGGGTCCTCTGCAAGAGCAGCCAGCACTCTCTACAGCCGAGCCATTCCTGCAGCTCCAGTAACTTGAGGGAGTCAGTTCTTTTTTTCCTCCATTTGAGTTCTGGGAATTGAATTCAGACTTTCAGGCTTGATAGCAAGTGTCTGCCTACTGGGTCATCTCACTCACTGGTCCTCAACGTGACTGTGTTACAAGGTGTGAGCAGAAAGCATACATTTAAAGAGTGAGATGCTAGCCGGGCCGTGGGGAACACTTAATCCCAGCACTCGGGAGGCAGAGGCAGGCGGATCTCTGTGAGTTCGAGGACAGCCTGGTCTACACAGTGAGTTCCAGGACAGGCTCTAAACTACAGAGAAACCGTGTTTGGAAAAACCAAAAACCAAAACCAAATCAAACCAAACCAACCCCAACAAACAAAAACAAAACAAAAGCAAAAAAAGAGAAAGAGAGTGAGATGTTAATGGTGGTCATAAACACACCTCCCCATGGTAAATCCTGCCTCCCTAGCACCTGGGAGGGAGGCAGAGAAATTGAAAGCAGGATGCCTGACTGGCTAAATAACAAGACCTGGCCTTCAGAGATTCAAAACAGTGATAAAGTCTGGGGTTTCAGTGGGGACATGGGACAGGTAAAGTCAACATACCTTCCCCAAAGTGATAAACTCTGGGGAAGAGTATCAAGTCCAGACTGTCAGATAAGGGAGATGGACTTTCTGGCCCCTTCTCAGAGTGTGGTAAAGCTTGAAAGAGTCCAAGTGTGGGCTGGGGCTGGGCTCAGTTGCTAGCATGCCACCTGCTTAGGATGCAGAAAGCCCCGGGTTTTCTCCATCCCTGGCACCTCAGAAAGCAGGTATCATCCTAGTTCTTGGGAGGTAGAGGTAGGAGGATCAGGAGTTTAAACTCATCTTTAGCTACAGAGTTTATGGCCAGCCTGGGCTACAATGACACCCTGTCTCAAACCCCTCTAAAAATGTAGAAAATAAAATAAATATTGGGGAGATAGCTCAGGGGGTAACTCTGTTTAAGTTTAAATCCCCAAAACATGGGGTTGGAAAGATGGTTCAGTGGTTAGGAGCACTGATTGCTCTTCCAGAGGTCCTGAGTTCAATTCCCATCAATCACATGGCGGCTCACAATCATTCATAGTGGGATCTGATGCTCTCTTCTGGCATAAAGATGAACATGCAGATAGAGCACACACACACACACACACACACACACACACACATACACACGAAATAAATAAGTAATCTTAAAGAAGAAAAAAAAATCCCCAAAACACACATAAAAAGCCAGGCATGACTGTGTGTGTCTACAGTCCCAATACTGGGAGGTAGAGAGTGGTAGACCCCTAAGAACGCCTCAGGCTGGCCATCTGGCTGGAAGGACCAGCTTCCGGCTCAGTCAGGGTCCTGTCTCAAGGGTGTAAGATGGCAACTGATAGAGAAAACCTCAAGTCTTCCTTCTGCCCTCAGCATGTGCACACAAGCAGAGCATTCTACACGTTCATGTGTGTTGGCAGAGGTTTTTGTCCCGCCGGGTCCCTCAATAAACACACAGAAATATATTATTTGCAATACTGTTTGACCAATAGCTTAAGCATATTGCTAGCTAGTTCTTACATCAAAAATTAACCCATTTCCGTTATTTTATATTTTACCCTGAGGCGTGGTCTTCTTTCTCCTCTGGCAGCTCCATGGTGTCTCTTTGACTCTGCCTTCTTTCTCCCAGTTTAGTCAAGTTGTCTCCATCACCACCCCCAGCTCTACTCTACCCTATCACAGACCAAGACAGATTCTTTATTCATTAACCAATAAAAGCAACACATATACAGAAGGACTTCCCACACCACATGTGTATGCACCACACATGCAAGCATGCACACACATGAACATACACACCTTGTGCTAAAATGTTATAAATTCTTTGGACTGCATTGTAGCCCAAATGATGAGCGCTTGATTGGCTAGTGTGAGGCCTCTGGAACCCACTCTCACCACTGTAAAAAAGCAAAAAGACAAAACAGCACAAAATGCCTTAGCGCTTATTGTGCTTTTTGTTTTGTTTTGTTTTTTGAAACAGGGTTTCTCTATGTAGCTTTGGAGCCTGTCCTGGAAGTAGCTCTTGTAGGCCAGGCTGGTCTTGAAGTCACAGAGATCTGCCTGCCTCTGCCTCCCAAGTGCTGGGATTAAAGACATGCACCACCCCCACCTGGCTTCTTTTTGTGCGTTTTAAAATTGTATTTTATTTTCTTGTAATTTTTTATTTGAATTAAATTCAAACATTAAAGTGTTTCTTATTTTAAAGGACATGTATATTTGGGGAGTGGAGAGGCAGCTCAGTGGTTAAGAATGCTTTCTGCTCTAGTGGAGGACCTCAGTTCAGTTCTCACACCAGAGATGGGCGGTTCATAATCACCTGTAACTCCAGATCCAGGGGATCTGACTCCTCGTTTGGCCACCACAGGTACTGGCATGCACATGTACACAGATACACAGACACACACACAGTCACACAAAATAATCCTTTATAATTTATTTATGCGAGGCATGCATGTGCCATAGTGCACATGCGGAGTCAGAGGACACAGTGCAGGAGTGGGCTACCTCCCTCTCAGCCTGGGGCAAGCAACATTGTCTTCTGAGCCTTCTCTCCAGCTCGCTGTTTTGCTCTGAGTCAGGAGCTGTATGTACCACCCAGGCTGGAATCAGTGGTCTTCCTGCCTCGGGCCTCCCAGCACTGTGAGCTCAGGGGTGGACACTGCCCAGTTGGGCCTTGTTTTCTTTCTTTAAAAATTTTAAAATGATTTCTTTTCATTTTATGTGCATTGGCGTTTTGTCTGCATGTGTGTCTGCGTGTGGGTGTCAGATCTTGGAATTACGGACAGTGGTGAGCTGCCTTGTGGTTGCTGGGAATCGAACCTGGGTTCTGCAGAAGAGCAGTCAGTGGTCTTAACTCCAGCCCCCGGGGCCTTGTTTTCTTGTGTGTGCTGAGTCACAGTGGGGTTGAAGGTGGCTTTGGCAGGAGGGAGCCAGGCATCAGACCTCTGCTTCAGTGTCTTCTGGTGAAGTCAGAGTGCCCCCGGACAAATGTGTCTGCTCTCTGTGTTGGAGGAGGATGCTTAACTGAGTGTTTCTGTGTGCTGATGCAATCTGGAAGAAAATTGAGAGCACCTAATTTTTTTTTTTTTAGGACCTGATATTTGTGGATTTGATATCAAGAAAGTTCATGTTATCTTATATTTCAAAAATCAGTATCATTCGAACAAGAAGCCGATCAGATGCAAGGTGAGCACACTAATGTCACAGTGAGTGAGCGGCTCTCTCCATCAGCCCTTGTTCTCCTTCCCTCCCTTGCCCTCCTTTCCTTCCTTTATTCCTTTTTTCTCTCCTTCCCTTATTTCTTTTAAGCTTGTCATTTGTAATTGTGTGTGTGTGTATGTGTGTGTACACACGTACTTGCACACGCAAATATTTGTTTTTGTTTTTTCGAGATCTGGTTTCTCTGTAGCTTTGGAGCCTGTCCTGAACTAACTCTTGTAGACCAGGCTGGCATCGAACTCGCAGAGATCCGCATGCTTCTGAATCCCGAGTGCTGGGATTAAAGTCGTGTGCCACCACTGCCCGGCTCCTCACTCAGATTTTAAGACAAATAAAAGAGCTAGGCAGGGGCTGGAGAAATGGCTCAGTGGTTAAGAGCACTGACTGCTCTTCCAGAGGATGTGGGTTCAATTCCCAGCACCCACATGGCAGCTCACAACTGTCTAAAGATCCAGTTGCAGGGGATCTGACACCTTCACACCAATGCACATAAGATAAAGTTAAATAAAACATAAAAAAAAATTAAAAAAAAAAGAAAAAAAAGAGCTAGGCATTGTGGCATGGGCCTTTAATTTCAGAACTAGGAATGCAGAGGCAGGAGGGTTTCTCTGAGTTTGAGGGCAGCCTGGTCTACACAGTGAGTTACAGACCAATCAGGACTACATAGAGAAACCCTATTTCAAAAAGGAGAGGTGGGGGAAGAGCAAAGGAGCCAGACTCGCTTTGGGTGTGCTTATCACACAGTCTGGGACTGCGTGTGTAAATGACTATAAAGCAATGGACAGAAACGCCATCCCCTGCCCTGGAACATTTTAGCAAAAGATAAGGAAAGGCCACTTTAAAGGGTTTGTCCCAGACGATGCCTCCCCGGCTGGATGGCTAATAAATCCTTCCCACCACCCCTAGGCATTTTACTCCTTCTGAGGGGAGTGGGAAATACCGTTTCTCTTCTGTCTAGTCCCTGCTGAACAGGGGCACCTCTACCTCTTTAGTTAGAATAAAACTCTCCTGATCAGTCCTAGAATCAACAGAGGCAGGTGACACTGGCTGGGGCTTGAGGGCTCAGGGTGACACTGGAACTTGAGGACTTTGTGGGTTTGTTTCCATTTTGAGATCAGGTCTCACGTAGCCCAGGGTGGTCTTAAACTTCCTGTGTATCCAAAGATGACCTTGAACTCCTGACCGTCCTGCTTGGCTTACTGGAGTGAGCTACCACACCAGCGTATTGGTTTGGTTTTAAAGTCCTACACTAGCATACGGCAGGATGGGACAGTGCTGTTGGGAAAGGCTACCTAACCAGCTAGATCAGTGACTGAGTACAGAGAGATGCTACCTCAGTATGGAAGGTGGAGAGCCGTCGAGGAAGATGTGTGACCTCAGTGCCCGGTCTCAACATGCAGGCACATACACATACAAATGTCTCTGCACACATATGCATTGTACACATACACACAGAGAAAAGAAATGTACAGGGGCTAAAGAGATGGCTGCTCGTGCTCACAGCTCCCACACAGAGGCTCACAACCATCTGCAACTCGAATTCCAGGGAACCAACCATTTTCTGGCCTCGGCAGGCTGTGTTTATTGTTGGGGGGTGGGGTTCATTATGCAACCCTGATTAGCTTGGTCTTAAATTCACAGAGATCTATCTGCCTCCCAAAAGCTGGGCATTAATGGTATGCATCACCACATCTAGAAAAATAACAGCTTTTAATCATTTTGAAGGCTACTTTCTGCATGCTTTTAAAAACATTCTTGTAGCTGGGTGGTGGTGGTGGTGGTGCACGCCTTTAATCCCAGCACTCAGGAGGCACAGGCAGTGGATCTCTGAGTTCGAGGCCAGCCTGGCCTACAAGAGCTAGTTCCAGGACAGGCTCCAAAGCTACAGAGAAACCCTGTCTCAAACAAAACAAAACAAAACCCAAAAAACAAACAAACAAAAAACCATTTTTGTGTTCTGTCCACTCAAAAGCAGAGAAAATCTTCCAAGAATATGAGGGCCTGAGGCCGCTTTTAGCGTGGTGAGCAGAGTCCTCCAGCCACGTGTCACAGAATAGTTTCCACCAGCCCGAATATTATGGATTTTCTCCCATAACCTGCTGCCAGAGGACCTTCCCATGCCTGCTTCCTCATATCAGCAAGGAGCTAGAACAGTGAAGAGCTCTATTAAAAACTGAAGACTAGGGAAAGAAAGATGGCTCAGGGGTTAAGAGTGCAGAGGACCTGAGTTCAGATCCCAGCACACATGTCAGGTGGCTCACAACTGCCTTACTCCACCATGTGCCATCCAATGCCCCCTTCTAGCTTCCACAGGCATCTGTATGCATAAGTGCACGCGTGCGCGCGCGCGCGCACACACACACACACACACACACACACTCACAGAAGCATGCACACACTAGAACTAGCTAGTTCTAGCTAGTCCTAGAACTATTTCTGTAGACCAGGCTGACCTTGAACTCAGATCTGCCTGCCTCTGCCTCCTGAGTGTGGGGATTAAAGGTGCACACTACACACACACACACACACACACACACACACACACACAACACAAAAACAATCTAAGAACAAGGGTTTGTCAAGATGGTTCAGTGGGAAAAACCACCAAACCTGACAACCTGAGGTTGAACCCTGAACCCCACATGGAAGGAGAGACTCGACTTCCAAAAGTTCTAGTCTGCTCTGACCTCCATACTCTAAGGATGCACATGTGTATACACAGATACACATGGATACAAATATAATATATATTATCATTATATTATAAACATATCTTATATGTATTCTATATTGAGAGGACTAGGTTTCTAGCCCAGATTCTGATGCTGAAAAGTTCCAGAACCGTCCTCACATGACCTCTGACTCCCAGTGCCCTGTCAGGAGTCTGGGTTTACAGCAGAGATTCTGTCAACTTTCTAACTATGAAAATCTGGAGATAGGGCAGTGAGATGGTTCAGTGGGTCAGAGGTCTTGCTGCCAAATCTGAAGCCTGAGTTCAATTCCTGGGCCTTACATGGTAGAAGAGGAAAATCCAAGTCCTCTGAACAGATAAAAAGAAATCTGGAGAAATGTGGGAGGGGCCTAGAAAGACAAGTTGAAAATGTCATTGTATTTTTTTTTTTAACTCAGATAAAAAGATGACTTTGGCTGGGCACTGTGGCCTTTAGTCCCAGCACTCTGGAGGCAGAGACAGGTGGATCTCTGAGTTCAAGGCCACCATGGTTTACAGAGGGAGTCCCAGGACAACCAGGGCTATGCAGAGAAACCCTATCTCGAAACTGCAGCAACAGCAAAAAGGTTGACTTTGGCATTTTATGGTGCTGAAATGTAAAATTATAAACCTGTGAGCTCCAGCATAAACAACCAAAACCAATTTGTAATCTCAGCACTCAAGTTGAGGTAGGAGGATCACCATGGGTTCCAGGCCAGCCTGGGCTATAGAGTGAAACCCTATCTCAAAAGACATCAAAGAACTCAGTGAGAGGCAGGGTGTGGTGACTGGCACCTGGCTGAAGCAGGAGGGCAGCTGTCGGTTGGAGTATATGGAGTGAGCCACTGTCTCAGAAAGGACAAAGGTGGGCTCGGGAAGGTGCTCAGGAAGGAGCTGCTTGTTGAAGAAGCCCAGGGACTTGAGTTTGAGCCCCAACCTGTAAACCCAGTGCTGATGTCTGGGTCGTAAGGAGGCAGCCGTCAGTCTAGCCACGTTGTTGAGCTCCAGACACCCTGTGTCTGAAAATAAGGAGGGCAACAATAGTAGGAGGAACCTGACCCAACCTCTGATCCCCACACAAATGAGCACAAAACAAAACAGATGTTTGCTACATAGTTGAAAATAACACCGGACTCCTAATCCCCCTGCCTCTATTTCCCAAGTGCTGGCCTTAGAGCTGTGAGCCATAACTAGCGTGTTGATTTGGGCTTTAAGGCAGGGTCTTGCACTGTAGCTCAGGCTAGCCAGAGACTTGTGGTCTTCCTGTCTCAGCCTCCCAAATGCTAGGGGCAGAGGCCTGTGCCACCCCCAACACACCCAGCTCTGTTTTATCTGCACTGCCCTCTGAGTGTGTGTGTTGTGTGTGTATGTGTTGTGTGTGTGTGTTGTGTGTGTGTGTTGTATGTGTGTGTTGTGTGTGTATGTGTTGTGTGTGTGTGTTGTGTGTGTGTTGTGTGTGTATGTGTTGTGTGTGTATTGTGTGTGTGTGTTGTGTGTGTGTGTTGTGTGTGTGTGTAGGTCAGAGGACAGCTTGTGGGAGTCATTTCTCTCCTTCCACCAATGTGGGTCCTGCGGGTTGCATTCAGGTCACCAGGTTTGGTGGCAAGTGCCTTCCCCCACTGAGCCATCTGCCACCCCTCCTTCCTGTTCTAAAGTACACATCTGGACACACAATAAAAGTGCTCCTTACTGTGGCTTCTGTGCAGGTTGATGGCTTCACCCACCTCTACACCCTGATTTTAAGGCCAGATCTTTCTTACGAGGTGAAAGTTGACGGCCAGTCCATTGAGTCCGGCAGCATTGAGTATGACTGGAACCTGACATCGCTGAAGAAAGCAGAAACTCCATCAGCAGAGTCTAGGGACTGGGACCAGGTGGACGGTGGCAGAGCCCAGGTAGGTGGGCCGTAGCCTGGGCATGCGGTGGAGTCCCTTGGGGACTCCCTGCACTGCATCCCTGCCCACACAGACCTCTCTCCCTGAGGACTGGGCACACACTCAAGGGACTGCAGAAACAATTTTAATGGGGTGTTTGTTTTTCACAGAGACTCACTGTGTAGCCCTGGCTGACCAGGAGTTTACTATGTAGACCAGGTTGGCCTCAAACTCACAGAAGTCTACCTGCCTCTGCCTCACAGGCCTGGCCATTGTGGGGCCTGGCCATTACTCACACAGATATTAGGTCTGATGCAGGGACAGGCTCTCACAGGGAATAATAATAGCCCAAGATAGTTTGCTTCTGGCCTGTAGCTTTCTGGTGCTCCGTTGTCATGAGGTTTCCTATGCAGTTTCTCCCCCTCATTCCCTGTTCCCACCTTAAAATTAGCTGAAGAGAGCGAAACCTATCACGTCCACCACACAAACCAACAGACAAACAAAAGCCAGACAGGGCACACATGTCACTTGGTGGGATTGGCAGTCCTACAGCCTTGGTGTCTTCATTAGGGTGACTATCACTGTGATGAAACTCCATGGCCAAAGCAACTTGGGGAGGAAAGGGTTCCATCAGTGAAGGAAGTCAGGACAGGAACTCACACAGGACAGGAACCTGGAGGCAGGGACTGATGCAGAGGCCGTGGAGGATGCTGCTTATGGGCTTGCTCCTCATGGTTTGCTCAACCTGCTTTTTTTTTCTGTTTGTTTTTGAGACAGGGTTTCTCTAAGTACCTCTAGAACTCATTCTGTAGACCAGGTTGGCCCCGAATTCACAGAGATCTGACTCTGCCTCCTGAGCTCTGAGACTAAAGGAATGTGTCACTACTTCCTGACTCAGCCTGCTTTCTTAGAGAACCCAGGGCCACCAGCCCAGGGATGGCATCATCCACAATGGGCTGAGCTTTCCCCATCAACCACTAATTAAGATGGCCAGAGAGATGGGTCAGTGGTTAGTTAAGAGCACTGACTGCTCTTAACTATAAGGAAAAAAACTTATAAGGAGAAAAGAAAAAAGAAAACTGCCTACAACCCAGTCTTATGGAGGAATGTCCTTCCTTCCTTCCTCCCTCCCTCCTTCCACTCTCTTCCTTCCTTCCTCTTTCCTCCTTCCTTCCCTCCCTCCTCCTTCCTTCCTTCCTTCCTTCCTTCCTTCCTTTCTTGGTGTGGGAGAATTGTCTGTATTCTGTCAATCATGTTTTAAATAAACGCTAATTGGTCTGGGCAGGACTGGGATGAATGGGTTTCTAAAAAAAAAAAAAAAGAAAGAAAGAAAGAAAGAAAGAAAGAAAGAAAGAAAGAAAGAAACCCAGAGGGGAAAGTGGTGCGGGAGAATTGTCTGTATTCTGTCAATTATGTTTTAAATAAACACTGATTGGGCCAGATCACCAAAGAAGCAGGATGTGACCTGCCCCACTGAAAGAGGTACCGAGCCATGTGGCTAACATAGATAAGAATAATGAGTTAATATAAGCTACAAGAGCTAATAAAAAACCTGAGCTAATGGTCCAATCAGTTTATAAGTTATGGAGACCTCTGTGTGATTTTCTTTGAGGCTAAACAGCTGTGGGAACTGGGCAGGACATAAACCCCAATAAGCAAGACCTAATGCTACCCTCCCTCCCTTCTTTCCTTCCTTCCTTCCTTCCTTCCTTCCTTCCTTCCTTCCTTCCTTCCTTCTTTCCTCCCCTCCCCCATCTCTCTCTCTCCCTCTCTCTCTCTTTTATTTTGGTTTTTGGAGAAAGGAATTCTCTTTAGAGCCATGGCTTTCCTAGAACTCACTCTGTAGACCAGGCTGGCCCTGAAACTCAGAGGTCTGCTTGGCTCTGCATCCCAAGTTCTGGGATCAATGGTTCAATGGTGTGCACCACAAGCCTATGGAGGCAATTACTTTTTTCTTTTCAGGTTATAAACTGATTGGCCCATTAGTTCAGCTTCTTATTAACTCATATAACTTATATTAGCCCATTATTCTTGTCTATGCTAGCCACATGGCTCGGTACCTTTTTTCAGCGAGGCAGTCACATCTTGCTTCTTCTGTGGCAGGCTCACCTGAAGGCTTCCTCCTCTCGGATGACCCCAGCTCTGTTAAGTTGACATAAAACTACCCACCACACTTGGAGACCACTCTAGTGAACAGGAGAGGATATTGTGACAGGAGTTAGAGACCTGGCCTGCTAATCTGTTTCTAGTTTTTTCAAGCCTATATTCTGGTGCCCACCATCTTCTGTAGGCCATCTGAGCTCTGTCCCAGCTCCACTGAGCATGTTGGCTCCTTAGGTACCCCTGCCATCTACGCTAAAGAATTTTCTGGGGATGGCTCAGCAAGAAAAATGCTTGCTGCTAAGCAATGAGGACCTGAATCTGAACCCTGGATGTTGTTGGTTCGCAGCTGCTCAGCCCCGAAATAACCACACAGAACGTGTACTAATTAAACCACTGCTTGGCCCATTGGCTCTAGCTTCTTATTGGCTAACTCTTACATATTAATTTAACACATTTCTATTAATCTGTGTATCGCCACGAGGCTGTGGCTTACCAGGTAAAGTTCCAGTGTCTGTCTCTGGCGGGGCTACATGGCTTCTCCCTATTCCACCTTTCTTTCTCCCAGCATTCTGTTTAGTTTTCCTCACCTAGATAAGTTCTGCCCTGCTATAGGTCCAAAGCAGTTTCCATTACTTACTGGGTAAAGTTCCAGTGTCTGTCTCCAGCAGGGTTACATGGCTTCTCCCTACTCCACCTTTCTTTCTCCCAGCATTCTGTTTAGTTTTCCCTGCCTAAATTCTGCCCTACTATAGGTCCAAAGCAGTTTCTTTATTCATTAGTGGTAATCACAGCATCCAGAGGGTACTCCCACATCACCTGAAACCCACGTGGTGGAAGAGAACTGACCCCAGCGAGTTGTCTTCTGACCACCACACGCACACATATGCATAACAAATGTAATACAAACGTGTGCCTCTGGCGTCATGCTTTCCTTTCTATATTTGAAGGACTGGGAAAAGCATTTTCTGGATGCAGGTGCCAGCAAGCCAAGCGATTGGAACAGTGAACTGGATGGGGACTGGCTGCAAAAGCCACCGTACCAGGTGTGTGGCTTCTTCCTGCAGTGACTCTGGACCCTTGTAGTGGTCCTTGCCTCTGTCCCGACCTGTGCTGTTAGAAAAGAATATTCTCGGTGTCACAGGAAGTAAAAGTAACCTGGCAAGACAATTTCCTTTTGTAAAAATGACACATCATGACCCAAGCTTGCTAGCAAGCACATGGGCGGGAAGTTTGTTTAGTTTTTTTTCTAACACAGGTAGTGACTGTGACTCAAGGGAACCTGATCGTACAGTCTTTTGAGGTTGGCTACTTTTGAAAGAGTTTATGCAAAGGAAATGAAAGGAAGGGGGATTGGATAGCTGCAGGCTGTCAAGTTCCAAGAATGAGAGGCATAGTGCTTTTAATTTAAAAAAAAATGTTATTAACCAGGTCAGGGAAGCTAAAAGATTTGCTTGGATTTTTTTTTTAAGTAGGGGAAATGAAAAGACTTGCATTCCTTTTATAAGTTGCAGAAAGATTCATGGAATATTGGTCCTTGGTGAACTAGCCACCTTGGATAGGAAAAAAACAAACAAACAAACCATTTCTGGTGCCTGTGATCCAAGCCTGGCAAGCATCTACCTTTCCAGGATGGCCTGAAACCTGAGGGCATCGATAAAGATGTGTGGCTCCACCGGCAGATGAAGCCTTCCCACTACCTGACGCAGTATGACCTCTCAGAGTTCGAGAACATCGGTGCCATTGGTCTGGAGCTGTGGCAGGTGACTTGGCTTTAAGTTTGCTTTGCTATAATAGCTCTGGGCTGAACCTTGCTGTGTAACCCAGGTTGACCTTGAAATCATTATCTTTTTGCCTTGGCTCCCGAGTGTTGGGATGCTAGGTATATGCCACATGGCCTGCTGATTTAATAACTTGAACTTTAACATAACCCGCTTAGTACACAACTGTTGTTTTTCCGTGTGTGTGTGTGTGTGTGTGTGTGTTAAACACACATGGGCAGAAGCCAGAAGAAGATGTCTAGTATCTAACTATGTCACTCTGTCTTACTCCTTTGAGAGAGGGTACCTGGAGCAAGTCTGGCATCCAGTGAGCCCCAGCATCCCCTGCCTCTGCTCTTCCTGCCCCCCAAATACTGGGAGTCATAGGCACCTGTACAACCATGTCTGGTTTTCCATGTGGGTGCTGGAGATTTGAACTCAGGTCTTGAATGCTTTCTCAGTGAGCATTCTCACCTATTGAGCTATTTCTTCAGCCCTTGATGTATTATTTTTTATAGCTGTGTGTGAATTGTATTTGTGCACATGCGTGCAAGTGTCCTTGGAGGCCAGAAGAGGGTGTCTGATCCCATGGAGCTGGAGTTCCAAGCTGTCGTGAGACACCTGGTTGGATCCTATGAACTGGATTTCAGGCTGCTGCTGGAGTGGCAAGCACTCTTAGCTTCCAGCCCTCTCTCGAGCCCCAGCCTATAGTTACTTTTCATTGAACACTTTTGTTATCATTGGTAGTTGCATGTGGTCTTGAAGACATAGCATGTGCCTGACGTCTCTACCCCTTAGAAGCCACTTCCTTTGGAGCTGACTGTCACTCCTGTCAGCTGTGGGATATGCACTAGCGGTGATGCCTGGGCTTCTGTCCCAGCTAGCCCCCAGTTGATGCCCACTAGCCACACTTAGGTGCTAGCAATGTAATCCAGGTCCTCCTGCATTGTAAGTGTGTGCTCCACCTTTGGGTCACCCCGAGCCCCACCTGGATTATGCTTTGCTATCATAGAAATGGGTTTAGCTGATCATGGGTGCGTACTGAACTAAGCACCCCTGCTCATGAGAAAGGTTGTGCATCGCCTCCACTAATGAGGACCCATTTCCATCCATAGGTGAGATCTGGAACCATCTTTGATAACTTCCTGATCACAGATGATGAAGAGTATGCAGAGCGGTTTGGCAAGGCCACCTGGGGGGAGACCAAGGTAGGCACAAAACACCCAGCTCACTTTTTTTTTTTTTGTTTGAGACAAAGATCCACTCCGTATACCACGCTGACCTCGAACTTACCCTCCTCTGCCTCCCAAGTGCTGGGACTAAAGGTGTGCACCACCAAGCCTGGCTTTCTTTCTTATCTGTAATTACATCTGTGCACATGAGTGCAGTGTCCACAGAGGCCATCAGATGGCGTTAGATCAGTCCTGAGCTGCCTTGTGTGGGTGCCAAGCACTGCCCTCCGGTCCTCCGGAAGAGCAGTATGTCTGAGCCACTCCTGCGGCCCTTGTTTTCTGGAGAGGGAGGCGTCTTGGTAGGGCTTTGCCTGCAGTGGAATTCACCATGTCACTCATAGGAATCTACTCTTCTGTCTGCTTCGCAAGTGCTGGGATGACGGACGTGTGACAGCACTGTGACGGTAGTCTCACAGTCCTCCAGACTGGTCTTCACCTTGCTGTCAGGGGTGACCCTGGACTTCTGATCCCTGTGCCTGTGTGCAGGTGCACCATCACGCCCAGTTTTTCCCATGCTGGCTATTGAGTCCAGTGCTGGGCAAGCATCATTAACTGAGGCGTAAGCACTCTACCAGCTGAACTCACATGCTCTTCTGTGTGAGCCCCAGCTCAGGCCTCTCCTACTGTTGTCCCTCCAGGGTCCAGAAAAGGAAATGGATGCCATACAGGCCAAGGAAGAAGTGAAAAAAGCCCGCGAGGAGGATGAGGAGGAGCTGCTGATGGGGAAGTTCCGCAGGCACGACAACCATTTCAGTAGATACCACAGGCAAGGCGAGCTGTAGTCGTCCCCACTCTGGATGCAGAGGACTGGCCCAGCCTCCACACTAATACACTCTGAATGTAACACGTCTGTATGGTCATTTGTCCTGTTCCTGAAAAACAATTCCATGTGTGTGCTGGGGTTCCCTAATCTTTCCCAGTGCATAGATCAGGAGGTTTCCCTCGGCTGCCTGTGGGGCACACACCTTTAATCTCGGGACTTTGGGGCAGAGATCTCTGCGAGTTTCAGGCTGGCCTGGTTTATATATCACATTCCAGGGCAGCCCTAGTCACACAGTGCGACAATGTCTTTAAAAAGTTTCTTCTACAAAGAACAGACCACTGGAAGCCCGAGACCTGTAAGAATCTGGCCATAAATGATATACTTTTTTTTTTGAACCTCTTAAATATTTTCATGAAATAAAACATGGTAAAATGATTTTTTAAAAATTATTTATTATGTATAAAATGTTCTGCCTGCATGTATACCTGTAGGCCAGTAGAGGGCGCCAGATCTTATTACACATCATTATGAGCTACCAGGTGGTTGCTGGGAATTGAACTCAGGTCCTCTGGAAGAGCAGCCGGTGTTCTTAACCGCTGAGTCATCTCTCCAGCCCGGTAAAATGAATTAAAAAAAATTTTTTTTTACTTTAAAGATTTATTAATTTTTTAAAAATTTGTGTGTCTCGGAGCGTTTCCGTGTGTTTGTGTTGTACCACATGCAGGTACCCATGGAGACCAGAAGAGGGCGTTGGATTCCCTAGAACTGGACTTACAGGTGGTTGTGAGTCACCTGACATGGGTGCTGGGAACTGAACTCGTCTTCTGGAAAAGCAGCCAGAGCTCTTAACCACTGAGCCATCTATCCAGCCCCCCTAGTTTTCTTTTAAATTATTTGGAAGATTTATTTATAAGTGTTTTTGTCTATGTGGTGCTTTGAATAAGAATAACTCCCATAGGTTCATACATTTAGATGTTAGGGAGTGGCACTATTAGAAAGGACAGGAGGTGTGGCCTTGTTGAAGGAGGCGTGTCCCTGGGGGTGGGCTTTGAGGTTCCAAAAGCCCACACGTGGCCCAGTGTGTCTCTGCCTGCTGTCTCTGGATTAGAGAGAAGCTGCCAGCCGTTGCTCCAGTGCCATGATGGTCATGGACTCTAGAACTCTGGAAATGTAACCCCCAATAAACTCTTCTATAAGCTGCCTTGGTTATGGCGGTTTTTTTTAATTGATATTTATTGAGCTTTACATTTTTCTCTGCTCACCTCTCTGTCTCTTCCCTCTCCCTTTCAGCCCTCCCCCAAGGTCCCCATGCTCCCAATTTACTCAGATCTTGTCTTTTTATATTTCCCATGTAGATTAGATCTATGTAAGTCTCTCTCAGTGTCCTCATTGTTGCCTAAGTTCTCTGGGATTGCAGTTTGTAGACTGGTTTTCTTTGCTTTATGTTGATGAGTGAGTACATGTGATAATTGTCTTTCTGTGTCTGGGTTACCTCACTCAAAATAATGTTTTCTAGTACCATCCATTTTCCTGCAAAATTCAAGCTGTCTTTTTTTCTGCTATGTAGTACTCCATTGTGTAAATGTGCCATATTTTCCTTATCCATTCTTCAGTAGAGGGGCATTTAGGTTGTTTCCAGGTTCTGGCAATGACAAACAAAGCTGCTGTGAACATAGTTGAGCTCATGTCCTTGTGGCACAATTGAGCATCCTTTGAATATATACCCCAAAGTGATATTACTGGGTCTTGAGGAAGGTTATTTCCTAATTTTCTGAGAAATCACCACACTGACATCCAAAGGGATTGTACCAGCTTGCAGTCCCACCAGCAATGCAGAAGTGTTTCCTTTCCCCACAACCTCTCCAGCATAAGTTGTCATCAGTGTTTTTGATCTTGGCCATTCTTACAGGTGTAAGATGGAATCTCAGAGTTGTTTTGATTTGCATTTCTCTGATGACTAAGGATGTTGAACATTTCCTTAAGTGTCTTTCAGCCATTCTAGATTCCTCTGTTGAGAGTTCTCTGTTTAGGTCTGTACTCCATTTTTTAAAATTGGATTATGTGATCTTTTGGTGTCCAATTTCTTGAGTTCTTTGTATATTTTGGAGATCATACCTCTGTCTGATGTGAGGTTAGTGAAGATCTTTTCCCATTCTGTAGGCTGTCGTTTTGTCTTGTTGACCATGTCCTTTGCTTTACAGAAGCTTTTCAGTTTCAGGAGGTCCCATTTATTAATTGTTCCTCTCAGTGTCTGTGCTGCTGGGGTTCTATTTAGGAAGTGGTTCCCTGTGCCAACATGTTCAAGTGTACTTCCCACTTTCTCTTCTATAAGGTTCAGTGTGGCTGGCTTTATGTTGAGGTCTTTGATCCATTTGGACTTGAGTTTTGTGCATGGTGATAAATATGGGTCTATTTTCATTCTTCTGCATGTTGAAATCCACTTATGCCAGCATCACTTGCTAAATATGCTTTCTTTTTTACATTTGATATTTTTTTGCTTCCTTGTCAAAAATCGGGTGTTCGAAGATATGTGGATTAATATCTGGGTTTTCGCTTCGGTTCCATTGGTCCTCCTGTCTGTTCTTATGCCATACCAGGCTGTTTTCAGTACTGTAGCTCTGTAGTAGAGTTTGAAGTCAGGGATTGTGATGCCTCCCGAAGTTCTTTTATTGGACAGGATTGTTTTGGCTATCCTGGAATTTTTGCTTTTCCATACGAAGTTGAGTATTGTTCTTTCAAGGTCTATGAAGAATTTTGCTGGGATTTTGATGGGCATTGCATTGAATTTGTATATTGCTTTTGGTTAAAATGTAATTTAAAAAAAAACGCCAGGGTAGCAGAAGAGATGGTTCATTGGTTAAAGGTCCTTGTTGCTTTTCCAGAGGACCCAAGTTCGGTTTCCACTTCCATGTGGAGGCTCATAGGCGCTCCTAACTCCATCTCAAGGGCATGCAACAACTCTTCTCTCATCGACAGGCACTGGCGTGCATGTAGCAGACACACAGACATACATACATACATAAATTACAAAAGAACTAAAAACGAAGTTCAAACCAAACTGCCAGGCCACACCCACATTTGAAAACCCACACCCACATCAGAACCAAGTCTGCAAGTCTGTTTAGTAAGTCCACAGGGTATACTGACACCGCAAAGGGTCCACGCCGGACTTGGGTGTCATGGTACTTTGTCTGTTCCTATGTTCCTGGGAAATGTTCAGTAAACCCTAAGCATTTGTAGTGGCTGCTAGAGTAGAGAGGTTAAGGCGGAGCCAGAGTTTAGCCAAACTCTGAGATGCCCACCCAGATTGGGTGGCGCACAGAGGGCCAGGAACAAAAGAAGCCTAGAGCAAACCCAGCAGCGAGCCCTCCACCCACAGGGAGGCCCGCAGCCTGGAAGGGAGGCCTACTGCATCTCTGGTGTTCCTGCCCCTCAGAACCTGCCTACGACACGTTCCGGGCTGTACCTTCCACTCCAGTCTAAGCACACGAGTCACGCCCCCAGGCCGCCCACCCCGCCCACTCTGGGCCAGTTGTGCTCCCGATGCCCCGTCCCTGGTCCCCACAGGTAGGTCTACTCTGGATGACTGAGGTCGAGGCCCCGCCCCTTCCAGGCCGACTATAGGCTCTAGGCTCCGCCCTCGATGGTAATCGTGCCCGTCCCACTCCAGTTAGGCTATGCGCCAGAGCCTGTCCATCAAGGCCCCGCCTCGAGCAGAATCGCCCCGCCCCTCCTGACAGACTAAACTCGAGGCCTCACCCCTCTTCTGCAAAACTGCGCATGTGAGGCCCTGGATTCCCATCTGCGCATGTGTACTCTTGTCCTCTAGCCCTCAGGCCTGTCAACGAGCTGGCCGGGCTGCGCGCGCAACGCATCCCTCTTTCGTCCTAGTACGCACGCACGGCTCCGCCCCCGCCCCCTTCGGCGCTCGGGAGGCCGAGTCCGCACGAAGATGGCGGCGCCACTAGTCCCCCTCTCGCAGCAGGTACGGTACTGGGGCGCGCCGCGGGGCGGTGCAGGCGGCTGGTGCCGTGGGAAGGGCGAGGCACCGCGGAAGCGCGGCTCC